AGGAAAGAGACTTCATTAAAAATGTATGAAAACACTATATCACAAAATGCATATACACTTACAGAAATGAATCAGCAGGGTTGTCTGACTTACAAACAGAAAATATGTTGGCATTAAATTACATTAAATTTAGTAACCAGTAAATTTAGTAACTGATAAAATGAAAGAGAGAAGTCCATTCCAACAAAGCTTAAATAATGTGTGCTAAAATGCCTCAGTTTGTTCCATCAACAGTTGAGCTTTACAGTGAGGTAACAATGTCTGTGTACACTGACTATTTGACTGAATGGAAATGTGTGGTATAATTTAAGTTCATGCATTGATTTATTTTTTGAGTGCTCATAGGTGTGTCCATCAGGGTCTGTTTTACAGTAAGAAAGAGCAATGGGGGAATTTAACATTTAGTATCATCATGTAAATTGCCCAATTTGTGATTCATTGTGAAGGTACATTTTGATCTTTTTTTAAATCAGGTAACAAAGTTTAATTGAGTAATTGTGAGGCCTTTCCTCAAAGGCTCTATGTGTATTAAGCTGTCTGTTTGTGTATTAAGCCAGCCCGTTAACCCCCCCGATCCCCAGTCTTCATTTCTCAAGATGCACTTAACCCTTTTGTCATAACAACTGAAGTACTGAAGCTAGTCCTGCCATGCCATCTCCTTCTGTTCCTGAAGAGGCTTAGACACACACACACGAACACAACCACACACCTATAGCCACAGGTAGACTCTAACAAAACAATGTTACTGGAGCCCTGTAAACGTTTTCTTTCTCCTCTTATTGAATAGGTGCACGTCCTATTCAGACCCACATTTGTGCTCCTTTTCCTCCATCCTTATGCTAATCAAGCTTAATTGCAGGTAAATTGTGTTAAATTTGTTGTTCCTTACCTAAAACACTAAGCAGTTGTCTGCTTTCTGGTTACGTTATGGCTCATACATTTTTCTTGTATATTCTGTCAACTTAAGACAGTTGTGTAATATTATGTAACAAAAACAATCATAATTAATGTCTTCATGACCATTTTCCGTCTCTTTTTATCTCTTAGAATTAAATAGCCTGTTTTGTTGCTGCAGCTGATATGTGTAAATGAGTTCTGTTCTGATTGAATTGATAACTCATTCAAAAAGCAGCACAGGCTGAAACACACTATATAACTTTAATGTAAGTGGGCAGGGCTAAACTACTGTAAGCTAAATAGGTGAATGTATGTGACTGTGTTGGTTTTTGTGACATCACCAAGACAGTGAATTCAAAATTAAGTATTTCTGCAGTGTAATTTCTATTTTGGACTGTATGGATGTTTTGAAACTTCAAAAATGCTTACATACTGCATCAATCACTTTTATTTAAAAAGCAAGGGTTTCCATTATATGCTTAAACCTAGCCAAGGCTAAAATAAGATTTTCAATGGGGAATCCTTGTTTGACAGTGTAATTTAGTTTGTGGGCAGAAATCCTGGAGGTTTTAGCACAAAACAGTGTGTGGTGATCATGTTTTTCCAGCTTTGTGTAAAATGTGCAGCATATTAATTACACAGTTAAACTAAAGAGAGAAAAGTTGTGCTTGTCTTATTACCAGGATTTTTTTTTTTGAACTGAGGATGGTTAAGTGCTTTGTTTGGATGGCTCAGTGGACAAATATAGGAATTTGTCCACACATCTGATTACCTGCCCGCCCAGTATTTGTCTGACTGTTCCTGTACTTAATTATAGCTATCCGAGTTTGTGCATGCATTCACGTCCCAACTTTATATGTGTTTTCACTTCCTTGTCCTTACGGGTGTGTGTGTGTGCGTGTCTGAAACAGAGGGGGATATATAGTGTGTCACCCTAGTGATGGATGATTCATCTGCCCCGAGCACTTGAAAGAGATGTGAGGAGGTCAAGATGCCCCTCTCAATGCTGTCGGATCCTCAAAAGATTTACTGTAGAGACAACTTAGCACCATCATAATGGATTGCTTGTAGGGGGGACAGGAGACATCAGCGTATGCCTGCAGCAAACATGGACTACACTCATACACTCACCAGCTCAGTTTACCCCCAAACTTCTGCCTGTGCTGCTGTATCATTAAAGCAGTGAGTTCACATGAAGAGAGAGATGTTTAAGAGCTTGTCATTGTGGATTTTTGTTGGTCAAGCAAATCCATTCAAAATAATGTGAAATGCATCACAGTAAACTGATCAGAAGATCCTGAAACAAAACATAGAGTGGTTTATAAATACGGCTTAAATATGGTAGATAAACTGTGAAATCCTAAATTCGTTATTTTTTATGGATAAAATGCAGTTTATCTACAATCAAATTATTTATAAGTATGAAAATAAATAAACTATTTAGGCTGTGATTAATATGCACCTTAATACTTAAATTATATTGTAATGTAACAGATGTACTGTACATGTAACAATTATTTGCTAAATGTTTATTTTTGAAATATTGATTTTTTTTTCAGAAATCTAGTAAGATAATTTAGACTCTTCTAAATGTAAATGTCTCTTTTTTTAATACGGATGCGCAGTCGTAAACCCAGAGTGCTTTTCCAGTTATTTCCAGTGAAGCTGTTATTATTGAAATGGTGCAGGCTGATAAATCCATAAATTAAATCAGAATTACAGTCGTTTTTTTGCCACATTAAAATGTCTGAGCGCGGTTGTGAGCGCTGTTGTCTTCTGTCTGATCTGAATGAGAGCACGCGCGCCTTTTAAGATGTGCCGTTTGCCTCGCAGCGTCCTGCGCGCGCTGTCCTCGATAACGTGTTTTTGTAAACAGTATTTTCTGCACGTACACAAATGTTTAGAGTGGAGGTAAACAGTATAAACATATGGAGTTGGGCCTCTGGCATGACTGCTGGTGCAGAGAGAGAGAGAGCGCGAGCCAAAGAAAGGCGGAAGCCAAAGCCAGGTGTTCTCGTGCAGGCTCGCGAGCCCTTTTTTGCTGGGTGTCTGTGGAAGATGCGCTGTGAGCGCTGTGGACGCTGTGAACGCTGTCCGTCAGCGGCGGATGAGCGCAGCGCTGAGAGCAGCAGCGCAGGGAGAAGAGCCGGGGAGGAGATAAGAGGGGAGGAGCGAGGGGGGGACCTCGCTAATGAAGGAGCCTCAGCGCTCATCAGGAGAGGCGCCGGAGCTGATACACAGAAAGTGCACGAGAGCACGACCGGGCGCTTTCTCTCTGTCGCGCGCGCTGTCTCCCTTTATCTCTGTGCCTCTGTGTCTGGCTTAAGAGCGGCTGGGCTGCTCCGTGTTGAGCCCCGGCTCACGCTGCTATGGGTTGGGTGGTGAACTCTACCGGGACCGAACCGCTCGCGCGACTGGAGCCTCTCAGATCCACCGCTCGACAACTTCCACAAGCCTACGAGCACAAGGTCAGATACGAAATCCTTACGCTTCATTATTCATGCTTAGACTAATAATAATAATAATAATATTAATAATAATAATAATAAAAACAAGATGTAAAATATGTCTTATTATAATATATATTATAATAATAATCGTTTTACATTTCACGAACAAAAATATAGACATGTCTATTGCTATTATTTATTATAGTAATGATAATAATAATAATAATAATAATAATAATAATAAAAACAATAATGAAAACAATAATACTAATAACTTCTGCAGGTTTTTGAGCTTTTTGATTTTGACATTATATTCTCACGCTTCATTATTAATGCTTTTTCAAACAAAAAAGATCATTAATGACAAGATTATTATATGTTATGTAAATAATAATAATAATAATAATAATAATAATAATAGATTGCGAAGTCTATGAGATGAAAAGTAAAATATCAGATGTGAAATATTCTTACCTGTTTTATGGGATCCTTTATTCATGTCTGCTTGATAATATTAAAAACAGTATTAAAGTGATGTGTGTTGTTTGTGGGAGTCTTTCTGTCCCGTCTTGTTGTGAAGCTGATGGTCTTGGCCTACTTCTCTGTCCCACCTGTGTGTGCTAGTGCCGGTTGAGGGGGGAGTTTGGCCTGTTTTCTGCGCTGTGTTGGTGCTGAGCGCCCCCTGCCGGCCTCTGCGCCTCTCTGCTCGCGTGATTAATGACTTATTCCGCTAAACTCCAACTGCTGCGCGTTTTCACCCTTTAATCTCTCCTCCTCGCTTCTCCCCAGACTGTTCAGAGACACACGCTTTTAGACGAGCATAAAGCTAAAGATGACTTCTTTATGAAGCGCTTTCAGTTATCAGTTCTTATTTGGGGATTATTATTGGCTTATTGGCCGAATCTCAGACTGTTTCTAAACGAGCTAAACTGTTCCTCGAACTGTTACAGGAATGTGTATTTAATCTTCATAAAATTTCATGTAATAACAGTATGATGCCGTGCTGCAGTCTTGAGTCTCTTGCTGAAATATTTTGAGTGTTGCTGTTTGCATTTTACAGTCATGCCTTCAGAGACTGCAGCCCCGAAAAAAACACAAACGTGCGACTGTTCTTTTTTTTTTGTATGTGCGCGCACGCGTGTTTGTTGTTACAAGGTACACAATGCGATGCCAGTTTTTGTGCTAATGCTTTTCAGTTCCAGGCTACGTTTTGTGTACATGTGGGTAAATTGTGAATATGAAGCTGTAATGTTTCTGGTCTGTCACTGGCTTTTCTTTACTGAACCAAACTGACAAAGCCAAACACTTTCAGCTCACTACTGAACTGTGTTGGCGGAATCAGCCTCGTTACTGTGTTATTGTGTTTTGTTGTAAATACTATTGTTCATAAAGAAACGCGCTTTGAAAATGATGGCCCGACATCGTACAGATAATTCATAGCATACAGAATACAATTCATACGGTTCAATAATAATAATAATAATAATAATAATAATAATAATAGTATTGTTGTTGTTATAACTATTATTAATAATACTATAGATATGTTATTTATAATAATAAACAATAATAATTTCAGTTTGTGCAAAACTGTTGTGTTGTTCTGTTTTCCAGAAACTCATTCTGTTCTCTCTCTCTTTTTTTTCTCCGTAGATTTATTATAAAGCTATTAGAGATATTGAGGTAGGGGAGGAGTTGCTGGTTTATATGAAGGACGGAGTTTTCCCCGAGGGCTCCATGGCACCCAACCTAGAAGGTAAGATTAATGCACATCATTAAGCAATGTTTTAACCAAACTGCACACTGATATGATACGCAGTCAAATGCTTGGTTCAGTTGTACAGCAGAGGAGCTGATAGACTATTTGAATCCCTGCTGGATTCCCCTGTGGGGTGTGTATGTAAATGTAGTTACCTTCCAGTTTAAGAACAGGGGAAAATACCTTACTGAGCTGTACCCATTTATTTCTTCAAAGAAAGTTGCCATGAATGAAATGGGCAGGTGGGTTCGGGGAACTAAGTACAGATTAAGCACATTCAGAAGGTTTATTTAAGAATGTCCTGCTGAAGGATGAGTCAAGCTATTTTAATCATTTTAATCATAATCCTCTTTAATACCAGAGGATCGTCAACTTTAGCAGTTAATAGGTGGTTAATAGGTGAGGCCTCTTAAATATTTACTCTATTTGTACAGATTATATTTGTCTAGATTCTTTCTGTATAAAACAAATTATCTGAAAGCAACTTGACGATAAAGAGGCCTGTTTACTTTTAAGTACAGCCTAACTTTTTGGACATTTGTCCAGCAGACTTCTCTTTCTTTCTCTTCATGTCATACAAAATGTTAATCCTGGAGTAATGATTAAATAATCAGTATGTTGTTCCTTGAGACATAATTTTTGTATTAGGTTTGATTTTAGAGAATAAGCTATGAAGCATATAAATAAAATAAAAAATGGCTCAGGCAGGTATCTGTTATAGCTGCAGTCGTTGTCTAGCACACAAATTGTTTTGTCTGATAGATACATATCGTCAGATCTCTCTGCCAAAAAAGAAAGTGAGCATGATAGAAATGGAGCGAGGACCCAGAGACTGAGAGAAAGTAAGAGATCTTGGCTAAGATAGAAAGAGAGCCATCGACAGATACTGTGCAGGCTCAGCAGAGTCAGACCAATTGAAAAAACGGAATGACGAAGGAAGCATTCTAAAGAAAAGACAACAGCACAAAAGCAAGTGACTATGGTCAAGAGAGTCAATCTGTCAGACAGAGTCTGAGAGGCCAACAGATAGGCAGTGAGAGAAGGAGAGAGAGACAGAACAAGGGAGAGAGCTCTCTACACCTCCTCCTCTAGGCTTATCGGTGCTGGAATTTGGAGTGGGGCTTGAGGAGTCTCGGGGGACCTCACCCATGCTCACAGATTAGCTGCTAAACTGCACATAATTGTGTTCCCCCTACTTCTCTCCAAGAGCTATTAGTTTCCCACCCACCCCCCCTTTTTCCAGCATTCCTCCCCAGTCCTCAGTGCTGCAGATGGGACAGAGAGATAATGCAACAAATTTATTTTTATGCCTTTTTCCAAACAACATAAAAAAGAAATTAAAAATTGATAAAACTCCATTGACATTGAATCTGTATTTAGTCTAAATTTAATCTGTTGAAACCATTGAATCCTTTTAGTCTTTTCTTGCATTTTTAATATTTGCATTGAGTTTGAAATATTAATTTAAATAGTTCCACAGGAAACAGTGCTTTCTTATTAATAGGAATATAACAAAGAATGTATGGTTTGAACAAGGTAATGAAGTATAAACACCGGCTTTAAAGATGTTTTACAAGCTTTTTTGGACCTCACTAACCAAAATATTCAAATAGCATTAGAATAGCACACCACAGAGGGGACCGAAGTGTTGAGTGTAATAGCACCCACTTTAGCTTGGTAAGCGCACATCATCCTCCATATGTACTAAATGGACTATGTAGAGGGAATTTTTTGCTGTGGGGTCGAATTAAAGATGGTGGTCACCAAGGGGTCATACCCTGGCTGTTGATTTTCCACTGTTTGTGAGCTTGGCAACTCCTCTGTCCTGGACGTTTTTAAGGTTGCTGAGTTTGAAAATACTCTCAAAACCGTTGAACTTGGCACTTGAGTCAGGATATTACCATGGAAAAAGCTCCCACATTTTTATTTGTTTGACCTTGGTCATAAAAATGATTTTATTAAACAAAGGTTTGCAACCTAAAACAGGAAAGCATGCTGTTGTTTCCTTTGGCTATTTCCTGCTTCCCCTAAACCTCACTGTGATTTTTGTGAAATTACCAGAATTACTGAAATTGAAAGTGTAATTTGTTTCACATTTATGTGGTTTTGATATATTTTTTTATACACAAAAAGTTTGGTAGTTATAACAACCACTTTCAACAAGCGACACCATTATTGAAATATATAAAAGAGAAAACACTGATGAGAAAAGTTAATCAGAAATATGCGTTACCTCCAGTGTCTCTTTTCCTTTTTTTTCTTTTCTTTTTTTTAATGATACCATTCTGTCATTTCAGATGAGCAGATGTACCGATGTGAAGACTGTGATGAGCTCTTCTCCTCAAAGCTGGAGTTGCGGAGGCACCAGAAGTACTCCTGCAGCAGTGGTAACTCCATCTTTGACACACTAAGTGAAGACCTCAAACAGGAGCGGGAGGACAGTGATGAACCAGTGTACGAGTGCAAAGATTGCGAGAAGATCTTCCCCAGCGAGTACAGGTAGCAACTCAGCCATGCACCGTATATATTCATTTAGTAACAATAGTAACTCTCTGTATTAATCTGGTTGAAATATTGCCCATGATATGATCAGCTCCCTAAAACAGGACATTAATTCCTCAACACAGTCTGCTCAAGAACACATATTACAGTCATGGACTTGAGTGTTAATGCTTGCAATCTGTTTTCCTAGTCTTGGCCAGCACATGGTTGTGCACACAGAAGAGAGGGAGTACAAGTGTGACCAGTGCCCCAAAGCTTTCAACTGGAAGTCGAATCTCATTCGTCATCAGATGTCACATGATAGTGGCAAGCGATTTCAGTGCGAAAACTGTGATAAGGTAGGCTCCAATAGCCTTTTCTAAACCTGAAGTATCATTCCTGGTCCTGATTCTTGCTAACCATGAATTAGCTTACGCCATCAAGGGGGCATTTATAGCCATCTACTGATTTTTTGCTGATAGATTGCTATAGTCACATGAATACCTAGTGAAAATTAAGTTCTTGTTGTAATTTCAGTTTTCATAAAGGTGCCTATTTATGTTTATATAACATCCAAAAAGCTTCTTTGCAGAAGTTTCCGCTTCCCTGGCTAAAATGCTTTTCCATGTTAGCAAGTGGATAGCAGTGGACCCCTGGTGTTAAGTTGTCATATTTGTGCATGTCTCCCCCAGGTGTTCACAGACCCTAGCAATCTGCAGCGCCACATCCGCTCACAGCATGTCGGTGCCCGTGCCCACACCTGCCCTGAGTGTGGCAAGACCTTCGCCACCTCCTCAGGCCTCAAGCAACACAAGCACATCCACAGCAGTGTCAAGCCTTTCATGTGTAAGTCTGAGCAGGCTTGTCTAAGCCTCAGATACAATTACCAGTGTCCAACGGCCTCCCGGCTAACTCCTCCCCAAGATGACAGCTGTTGTTTTATAGGTCAGAACATTAAATGAAATTTTAGAGCCATTTTTGTTCTGTTCCGCATTTGTTTTGCGTTTCTCTCTTCTTTTTCTCTCTCTTTCTCTCGCTCTACTTTTCACTCCATTTTCCCCTCCCTTTTTTGTTTCTTTACTGTGCATTTTCCTTTGAGGGCCCATAAGGCTTGTCAATGGCCCAGGCACATTTGACATGTAAAGGTAAATGTCTCTGTTGTGTTTCAGCTGTCCACTGACTGATGCTGAAACAATACAATCTTCTTCTCATCTTTCTGCTTGGCTTTTTTGGCTTCTCTATGTTCTGCCCGTCATTTGTGTGTATAGCACAAATGCATGTATACTCTGGCAGTATATATGTATTTGTTTGTATTTGTATGTACACAAGACTCATTTTTCACATTTCATTTTTCATCATCTAATTTTATATTAACCACAATTAATATGCTAATCAATCATTGTATTAGCAAAGACCAGCTACAGAGTTGCTGGACTATGTATGATCACAAAATATGTTAATCAGCATGGGTAATTCATTGATATATGGCCAGCTTACTTGCTTACTTTGATAATGAATTCGCCTAATGAGAATAAAAACAGTATGTTAATAGAATTAATCAGGCATGTGTGTTCTCCCAGGTGAGGTGTGTCACAAGTCCTATACCCAGTTTTCCAACCTGTGCCGCCACAAGCGGATGCATGCAGACTGCCGCACCCAGATCAAGTGCAAGGACTGCGGGCAAATGTTCAGCACTACCTCCTCCCTCAACAAGCACCGGCGCTTCTGCGAGGGCAAGAACCATTATAGTCCTGGAGGCATGTTCACACCAGGCATCCCTATGACCTCTAGCCCCATCATGGGCAAATCTAAGCCCCATCCTAGCCTGAATCATGGCGGACTTGGCTTCAGTGATTACTTCCCCTCTCGGCCCCACCACCCAGGTCTGCCCTTCTCCACGGCACCTCCTGCATTCCCATCCCTTTCCCATGGCTTCCCAGGAATCTTTCCTCCATCACTATATCCAAGGCCACCATTGTTACCCCCAAGCCCATTACTAAAGAGTCCACTGAGTAACAGTCAAGATGGGAAGCTCCCTCACGGTCCCCTTGATGCTCCTACCCTTCCAATGGTTACATCTGTTAGCAACACCAATGGCAATGCAGGGAGTGGCCTCAGTAGCCAGTCTGAGGAAAATCGTGAATCCAAGCTGGACTTATCCTTCCCAGATGGCAAGAATAAGGTGAAAATGAGTGACATGTCTGATGGAAGTGATTTGGAGGACGTTAATACCACAAGTGGCACTGATCTAGACACCACCACTGGCACGGTTTCGGGCTCTGATCTGGACAGCGAAGCAGAGAGTGAACGAGAGAAAAGTCGAAGGAAGTCTGGACAGGAAGGCAAGCAAGATGAGGTCAGCAGCAGCTCTGTGTCAGTGTCCAGTTCAGGCAATCTTCCTCATGACCGTCCCTTCCTCTCTTCCCAGCATTCCTTCTTCCCACCACCTGATGAGCAAGCACTTCCACCTACCGGTGCAGCAACTGACTCTATCAAAGCCATTGCGTCCATTGCTGAAAAGTACTTTGGGCCAGGCTTTATGGGCTTGCAAGAAAAGAAAATGGGCTCTTTGCCTTACCATTCCATGTTCCCCTTTCAGTTCTTACCCAACTTTCCACATTCCTTATACCCTTTTACAGACAGAGCTCTCAACCCCAACATGTTCCTAAAACCAGAGCCCAAATCACCTCGTGAGCACATACAGAAAATGGCCACCACTACTGCTACAGAGTCACCCTTTGACCTCACTACCAAGCCCAAGGAGGTGAAACCCCTCCTTCCACCCTCCAGCAAGCCTGCCTTGCCCTCTAGTGCACTTCTGCCCAGTGGTGAGGAGCAACCTCTGGATCTGAGCATAGGCAGTCGGAGCAGAGCCAGCCAGAATGGCGGAACACCTGATCAGCGCAAGAACCATGTCTATGGCACAAATTGCAAAACTCCAGTTAAAGATGAGCATCCAGTTCTAAACCAATCTCAGAACCTCCATCAACCCCAGATGCCTCAGCAGCAAGTGTCCCTCCCACAGCCACCTCCACCCCAGCAGCAGCCCTCTCTGCATTATGCCAAGCCCTCACCCTTCTTCATGGATCCCATCTACAGGTATTTCAATCCGAGTAGGTCACAATGTAAGACTGAGCACAAAGAATGTCTGTCCGAGTGCCTCTGTCTCATAGAAGCTGATGTGTGCTTTAGGTGCCAAACAAGGAATCTGACAGACCTCCTTCGTTTGTACGTAACCCTCTGTGTTGTTGTCCAGCAGGGTGGAGAAAAGGAAGCTGATAGATCCTGTAGGAGCACTGAAGGACAAATACCTGAGGCCATCTCCACTGCTCTTCCACCCTCAGGTACCTCATGAACATATCTGATCCCTTGTAATACACCATAATGACCACTGAGGTCTGTGCTCTTAACAAAAAGATTATAAAAGCAAATTAAAATCCAGTTGGACACAACATCCAGTAAGGACATTGAGAATTGAAAGTACAATCTTGTATCAACATGCACATCTTAAAACCACATGGTTGCAATTTTGAATCCCTTCATGGGATGTCAGAGGTTGTGATTTAATGATGTATCACAAGCTGTGATGAAAAAATGATTAGTTCCCATCTTAAAGAGTTCAGACAACCCTGATGTTTCTTTATGAACCCCAGTGAAAGGATGGTCCATGATGACAAAATTAACTGCAGAACCTCATAATGAATGTACCTGGAACTGTACTTTTAACAATATCTGTCTGCTATAATATGCATACGGATCTCATATCATTTTAAAATAGTAACATGCTGTCATGTTTATTCCATCCATTGTTCTCCACCTTAAAACTAAAACCCACCTAGTATTGTAAAGGGTTGTTTCAACATGAGCCATGTTAATGAAGACCTGCATTTTTAACACAGAATTACTTTAATCAGAAATAAGATAATAAGATAATCTTGAAAGTGGTGCAGCCCTTTCTGGCACAGAGTGTGCAAAGTTCAGTTTGTTATCTTCTGCTTTGAAAAACAATCCCCATTGTTTATGGTAGCATTTCAAACTTTTCCCACCTTTGAGCAATGATAAAATGAAAATATTATTAATAATGACCTTTTGAATTGGAGCAAGTCGTCCCATGTAGTGCTGAAGTACAGCTAAGTTTAGTCAATGCATTGTTTCTGCGTAGCTCTACTCTGAGGCCCGCTGCTAATAACTTCCTACCATTTTTTTGCCCTGGCTGCCTAGATAATGTCTGCATGTCCATCAGGCACTTCCTGTGTTTGTGTGCAGGAGAATGGCCTCTCTTGTTGGGAACTGTCTTATCTGACCTGTAAATCTGTTCTGTATCAATGCAGAGCTACCTCCCCCAACCCCGAACGCTCTTTTTCTCTTTCTTTTTCTCTCTTTTTCATCCACCCTGTCTCCCGCCGCAGCCTGCTCTCCTCTGGGTGGCATAAGGACAGCTGGGCAGGCCTGGTCTGAGAGATGAGAACGTTGTTACGGATGTTGGGGAGATGTTGATGTTTACTAATTTCCTTCCCACACATCCAACATCCTTACAATGCGATGGGAATGTGTGACAGACATGTATTACAGATGAGTCACAATGAATAGCAGATAATGTAATACTCCACATTTTGGGACATATAGAATTCACTGTGTATACAATGAACACAGGACAAAAATAGAATTTATTTGGTTCATAGCTTCCTATTGCTGTTTAATGTTAGATCAGAAAACATTTCATGGTAATCAGTGAACGATTATTCTGATAAGTTAAAGGAATAAATGGTGAACCAAATAGACCTTCCCAAGTTAAATCAGTGGAGTGACGGAATCAAGGTGCAACTCAGACATGGATAAATAAATTGAGACAGTGTGTCTGTCTCCATGTTTATCCATATTCCAAAAGCAGGAAGGATGTAAGCTGTTTTTGGCCATCAAGTCACATAGCGAAGTCTTTGTTCTGCGTCTAATGGGGAAGTGCTATCAGCGAGGGGTATCTTAAACTGCATTGTATGGTTACCGTTCGCAGAGGTGAATGGCTCATTCAGACGCTTCTCTCAGAGACTTGTCGGGAACAAAGTGGAGGGCCGGGGGCTCCCAGGGGGCTGCTCGAGTGGCTGCTAACGTGCCATAGGTCAGGGAGGTGACTCTTGAACAGCACAATCAAGACTCGACCTTCTGATATACAGCTTCCTCTGACTTTCCGCCCCGTCTTATAATCATGTAAAAATCCCCTGCTCTCTGTCAGAGCCCCCAGTTATTATGAGTTATTATGTTCTTCAGGTATGTGGACCCAACAAAATATCTCCAAGAGGTCATAATCTAAGTCACAATCTGAACTCCAGCGATCAGTTTCTCAGGCCAGATTAAGCTTAACTTTGGTTAAAAGCAACTTCATCAGAAAATTTCCTCGTTGAAAGTAGTTCTTAGCGCCAGATTAGACCTAGTGTGCTTCAAATTTCAGAATCAAGGCACTGTCTGTGAGTGCAAGTGCCCTCAAAGTAGTGAGGGAAAGTCCCCGTTCAAGGAAAATGCCATTCTCACTAGAGCTTTTGCAGAAGAGTGCTCTTTCAGGTCGGGTACTATTATTTTCAAGCTGTGCTTCACTGGTTGTACCAGTGGAAGCTTCACTCAGGCTTCTACATGAAGGCTGACATTGATCTCACATGCATGTGGTTGTTGCTGCAGTAAAGAGGACCTCCCCTCCACATGTTGTAATGTATTTCCAAAAGTATCCAGGCACTCCTTGTAATCAGTGCATTCAGTTTAAGATGGTTTCATTACTGACAGAAACAGCCGCACATGAACCTAAGGTCGCAATGTCCAATATCAAACATTGGTTAGAGAGAATAGAGCTCTCCAGCATGGGGCTGTAGAGCAGTTGAACTGTGTTCTCCAGAGTGATAGAGCACCATTGATTACTTCTGCGATGCTACTGTGAAGCGTCATTTGTGATCCAGAACTAACCATCCAACATCAGAACGTGATCTCACTAATGCCTCTTGTGGGCACATCTAGCAAGTTTCCAATTGCCATTGCTACTTCATGACTAGTTTAATCTGGTGAAATTTCAGACTCTTTTGCAAGGCCTTATAAGTGGCATTCATTGCATGGCCTAGGCCTACACAGCTGTTATGCTCTTGACCTGACCTGATCAGGAGCTCTTTTCTTTTTCAGATGTCTGCAATGGAGAACATGACTGAAAAACTGGAGAGCTTTGGTGCTTTGAAACTGGACGCTCCCAATTCCCTGCAGCACTCCTCACACCACCTCTTTAACTTCCGTTCCCCTCCTCCTTCTCTGTCTGATGCTATCCTACGGAAAGGCAAGGAGCGCTATGCCTGCAGGTATGCACAAGTCATCTCTCTAAAAGCTGTAACAGGTACTCGTATTACTAATCAATTAATAGTAATTAACGATAGCAATAGTCAGTCTCACCTACTTTCACGATTCTGCAGAAGTTCATTGCTGTGTTTTTGCTTAGTTGAATAAAAGCACATTTTCACATGCTGCAGGTACTGTGGGAAAATCTTTCCCAGGTCGGCTAATCTTACCAGGCACTTACGAACACACACGGGAGAACAGCCCTACAGGTAAGCCGCTCACAAAAAAACACACACACACACACACACACACACATACATATACACAGCCATAAAAGTAAGCCAACCCCCTTTAACGTACATGCACACAGAGGTAACCTCAGTTATCTGAATCCGAGGCCACACAGTCATCCAATACAAACATGAGAGACTGAAATACTGAAGTGTCGACATCACTCCATAATCTAAAGATTCATTCCTGCTTGTGACATGCCTACTTTACAAAGCAAGAGAAATGTCTTTCACTCATGCTTGACACACAGACACAAACAGACATTAAGAAAAATGGCCACATTTTTGCTATTTGATCAGCATATGAGCTACAGCCTCATGCTTTAGTGCTGGTTGCATAGACACAGCCAAAAAAGAGAGACCAAAAAAAGAACAAAAAGTGGAGCTGGAGAAAGAGAAGGAAGATTGATTCTGTCTGTGCAGATGTTCTGGAGTTAAAGTGGGTAGAGCAAGCTCTGGACAATGTTGGGCGGTAATAGCGCCCTAGAGACATCCTTGCACTGTTTATAGAGCTGCTTAATTATCACAGATTTGGCTCCCTTCCAGCCACACACGGCCCTTCTTGGTGAGGATGAGGGTGTTCTGTAGAGGGGGCCTTTGATTTGCAGGATGCTGTGGCCTTAAGCAGAGCAGTAGGCTAATGGGGGAAAATGAACTCGAACCTACATGTCTGATGGCCAATGTCTACCTTCTCTGACAGAACAGTAATTTGGAGTTCCACAGTGGTGAAGTTTAAGATTGCATAGTGGTGCTAAGAAGGCCATTTAAAGCAGCACCATCTCCATCCATACAAGCAAAAATGCTAATTAAGCCAAAATAATTCTAATTGAAGTGCTTATGGCCACTTACATTTTACATTCTACGTTTACCTTTTCTTTTTAGTTATATTTCTGAAATCACTTGGGTAACCTCTTCCCTGGCTTATTTAAGGGCTTTTTCCGGGAACGTGAATGCAGGTTTAGACTGAATCTTGCCTCTCTTTAAGTTTACCACATCTACCGAAGTGGTTTGTGGAGGCAGTCCGCGAGATAGAGAACCTCCTATGGGACGTGGCCACTGCATGCTTGGCTCCTTCACAACAATCCCCTGATTAGCTCGTTTAGAAACAATTTACCCTAACAAATGGCAGACATCATCATCATCTCCCCTCCTCACTTTGAGGCAATAAGGCTGAGGCGGGCCAGTATCAGAGCCGGACTGCACTCAGCCGTCTTCATGCTTCATTGTAGTAGGCTATTTGCCTGCTCTAGATGCTATCGGCTCTAGTCTTTGCAGCGAAATTGGCCCACTAGGGCTGACCATTGAAAGACCCCATTCAGATTGTAACGCTCCATGTACAGTCCTTGTAACACCAAAAAAAGAGCAAAGATGATGAAGTAATTTAAAGTCCCCTTGGACAAGCTAATAAAAATAAACAAAACAGGGGGTAAAAAAGGCCAGTGAAAAAAGAAAAAGAAAAAAGAAAATGAAAATGAGGAACGTTGTCTTGGCATTTTACCATTTTCTATGAACCATGATGCGCCAAGTCTGGAAAATCAGTCTGAGCACAGACGCACACACGCTCGCTGGCGAAAAATAAATTGGAACATGAAAAGGGGCCTGCATCTTGATTCCGAGCACTTGATGACGAGTGATTTTCCCAAAGCAATTAGCCCTGAAAGTCAACCTTGCAAGCGGCTGCGGGAGTCCAGACTAAGACGGGCCACCCAACAAAAGGAGCACTGTCCAGTGGGGCTCTTGACGTGGCCTCGCCGCCGTGTTTGTTTATCAGGACATTAAATTGATGTTCTCCGGCCTATTCTGGATGGGCTGTCGTCGCAAACAAGCAGGCCACAGAGAGGTAGTGGAGGAGGCTAAGCCATGGCCCTCAGGCACACACATACACAGAGCCACTGAAGAGTCCCCATCCAGCCTTGGAGAAACAAGACTTTAGTTATATTTCAGACTTGAATTCCTTCTAATTAATCCGCAAATAATTAGGGCCAGCAGGGACAGGGTGAAATAAAGTGGGTGCAAGTTCAGCGTTTGAAAAGAAGTGTTGTAATTCAAGTCTTTCATGAAACATGAAAATCAAGGATGACCTTTTTTCCCCATTAAAAGACACGTTACTTAGATGGAAGCAAATTACTTATTGAATTATTGTTTGCTTTGCCTGAAAAGAGCTTGTGACTGTTATATATCATAATGTTATTGTGTGAAAACTGAATTAAGAAAAAGGCTGGTTAATATTAACCAGTTTTGGCATGTATTAGAAAAAATTCTAAGTAAATTCATGACTGAGCAGTGTTGGCAGCATTACCTTTCTCACCCACTGGAAGGGAGAATTCTCGGTACAGCCCTCTAGATTGAAGGTCTTTTAGTGAAGGAAGCTTGCTTAACCAGGCAAGAATACAATTTTCAAATCATTGGATAGAAACTGAAAATTATATTGTTCATACTTGGGTCTCTTTGATTGTTTTATTGATTTGTAAATTTTGTTTGGCAAGAAATCCTCTGACTACAGGCCCAGCCATAGTTTAAGGGTGGCTCAAGGTGCATGCTCTGATTTTACTGTCAGCACTGCAAGGACAAGTGTGTCTAATAAGTGCTATAGCCTGTAATGTGGCAGCCGTGTTTACACTGTGGCATTCTATGACTACTGATTGTTGTTTACATAGCTGAACACATAGCTGACCTCACTCAGACTTTTTCTCTCTTCTCTCTTTGCAGATGTAAATACTGTGACCGTTCGTTTAGTATCTCCTCTAACCTCCAGCGACATGTTCGTAACATTCATAATAAGGAGAAGCCCTTTAAGTGCCACCTGTGTAACCGCTGCTTTGGTCAGCAGACCAATCTGGACCGCCACTTAAAAAAACACGAGCATGAAAATATTCCAGGTAAACCACCACCTCCCACCACATCTGGTAAATTGGACATAGTTAATAGAGCTCAGTTGTTGCCAGGACCTGTTTTCTCATTATTCTCAAACTGGATGGTGGGTGGTATGTGTGAAATGGATGGAATGGGTGGATAAGGAATGGATGGAACGTTATTAATTAAGCTGATATTATCACAAATTAATTGTTACTATGAAGTGCAATGTTATGTACATAGCTATGTATTAAGCCTAAAGAGTAACAGTCTCCCTTTCTTGTCCTTTGTCCATCTGTCTCTCTGTCAGTGAGTCAACACTCTGGGATCCTTTCAAATTTGGGTACAAATATCTCCTCTCCAAACTCAGAGCCTGACAATCATGCACTTTTAGACGAGAAGGAGGACTCATACTTCTCAGAGATTAGAAACTTCATCTCTAACAGCGAGCTGAACCAGGCCTGCAGCTCTTCAGAAAAAAGGTAGAAATGCATGCACACACATATACACACATGCACAGACACAGACACACACACAACATGGCTATGTTTTGACGCTATAGTAACCAAGTGCGTAACTCCTGGAGTCCCTCCTGGAGCATAATGTCCTGGAGTCTCGAAGCTCAGTGTGATCTTTGAGGCTAAAGCCTGCTCCCTAGTGGTAGACTATAGAATATGCTTACAGTGCGATCCACAATGTGCGTGTTCGGTTGCACAACTTTGCCCTCAAAACAGAGAGAGAGAGAGAGCCGCAACACCTCAATGACTCATTTCAGCTTCACTGAGTTCTGTTGTGCATTAACTGTAGCCAGATACACGCTGGGGAGCACCTTTCACAGCCCAGGAAAACACCAAACAAAACTCATTACTGCCAAATACGAGAGCCGTCAGAGTGCATGAGGTGTGTGGCCTGGTCGCAGACTGCTTTCAGAGCACTGTTTAAGCCTGGCATGCTGACTCTGATTTCTACAAATGCTCTGTGAAGGAGCACTGCAGTGCAGTGTCTGTGTGAATAAAAGCTTAGACAGGCACATGAATTCTTTCTCAGACGTGTAATGGTCCTCCCCAGTTTTAGCTCGTTTCCAAACATGCCAGTGGAGCCTTGATACCCCGGCCTCATCCAGACACACGAAAGCTCTCGCCCTGCCATCTGGGATCAATAGTCTCGTCCCCATCTAGAACAAGCAAGCCTGGCATTTTAATATCTGTAATTCAAATAAGTGCTCTGTTTTCTGTCTCTCTTCAAATCGCCCCAGTTCAGACAGACAGGCAGCTGCTGTATGACTGTTCTTCTGGGTCCTCCTGCATCCTTCATTCTGGTGTCTGTTGCTTTCTCATTTTCTTCTTTCTTTCAGTTTCTGTCATTTTGGTGTCACAGATACAAAACTGTGTTGGTGATGCCTCCACATTCCTCTACCTCTCTCTCTTTCTGTCTGCCCCCCCCCCCTTCCTTCTTGAGCAGAAAAGGAAGAAGGAGTTATCTGTCCTCTGTGACTTACCCTACCCTGTGGTGGAGGGGGATTTCCCTGCTGGTGGACTGACAATGTTTAAAGAGTGGGTCTGGCCTGGCCCCCTTGACAGGTTATGGGGAGCTGTGGGCTCAAGACAGACCCACAGGTTTACCCCTCCCTGGGGACCCTGAGATTGAGGCATTTATCTGTGCTCTACATTGATGGAGCCCCCCCTCATCCTCCCCTCCAGCTAAGGCAAACAGTGTTCTGACATGTTTAGACTGAGAGACAAAGCGCAGGTCTGTGGCAGGGCCCGCTGCTGTCTTCCGCGTGGCATGGACTTTCTCCTGAGCCAGGGCCCAATTTGATTACGGGATATTTAAGCTCGATGGAAAATGGAAAACAAGCAGTTTTTCTCGTCTCCCGCTAGTTTCTTTTTTCATAAGTCTACCCCTCACATAGCCAAACCACCCACCTCCGAAGTCGATCTCTCTCCCCAAGCACTCGCCATTAAAGTCTACTCTGATGGACACCCATTTGAGAACAGAGACGTGAAACGACTTGAGGGGACAGGCTCAGTGAAGGCAATGAGATCATAACCATTAGAGGAACAGTATGGTTTGAAAAAGCAAGAAAGAGAGAAATAGAGAAGGGGAGGGAGAGAGAAGTAATGGAATAGCATGGTGCTGATAGGCGGTTTGCAGAGCAGCCATTTGCTATGGCATTGAGACAAGCCGCGATGATTGGAGCTGACCCTTTTGGACCAGTCTGTCTCGCCTCTCTGGGATTAGCTAATTCATCATCACCAAAACGTCTGTCGTTAATTATACAACCTGTGTGTTTGTCATTCAGGGGCCTTGCGTGTTTTCATGCTGGGGCCTGGCAGGGGAATCACAGGTCATTCTAAAATGATGAATAGTAATTTGGCAGAAACACAGCACACAGTGGTGATATTCGGCAGTCAGGCTATGACAGTAGATCTGCTGTCATGGACCTTTGAGGGTAAAATAGCCCATCTGAGGAAAGATGGGAGTGAGCTCATTCAGTTGTATGAGCATATGTTGTGGTAGTCAAACATCAGTGTATGAGACCATAGAGACCAAAATAGAGACTTCAAGTCCAGTTCAGTATGTTATGTCTGTGCTCATGGGAAATAAAGTAGAAATGAGAGGTAGATAGATGAATACCATACAGTTACATGTCTGTAATATAAGCAGCCTTTGCACTGTCATTGTGGCTTTTTGAATAGTTTTAACAAAGTACGGGCATAAAGTACATTTTCAGGCTTTCTTAATTGTATGTCAGGAAATGCAAGCCATGTTACAATTAAGAGGCAAAAAACTGTATGGTCTTTACACATGTTGCACTTTGCGCATTTACAGGTCAGAGCTGACAGAAGAGGAGCATCCTGAGAGCCATGCCATCACAGGCTCCAAACTAGAGGAGGAGGAAGAGGAGGTTGAGGGAGATGATGAAGATGAAGAAGGCTCGCTTACGGAAAAGTCACAGGACGAGACGGCTTCTCCCGCCACCATGGTGCAAGGCACTTACGAAGATGACGAGGAATCGGCTCCTCTCTCTATGGCCTATGAACACCCGCGCAGGTGAGACAGATCTCATACAACTCTCATTGAAATGAACCTTATTCATCCATGTGTTCACAAGAAGCACTCTACCATTGTTCACTGATGAGAACAGTATGTCCAGCAACATACGTATGACCATACAATGAATTATTAGAGTAATAAGGACCAAAGATAAGACTAGATGTTATTATCAGGAATTGTAAAAATATCTGGTGAAGGCAGTTCCCCACTTGGTAACTTCTGAAATTCACTAGGTTGTTATGGCTGAGTGATTAGCACTTTGCTCAGACACTCTACAACACAGCTCCATGGCTGGTAGCAGACTTCACATGCTTAATGGGACAACTATGTAGCTTCCCCTTTCATATTAAGAAAGAGATTGAGATTGATTGGGAACTGGAAACAACAAAATTGTATCAAAATGCAGAAATACACCCAAGCTAGACAGCTATCGGGATATTGTTATCATTAAAAAAAAATGGTGGAGTGTTAGGCATCACACATCTGTGCATCTTTTCTGTTGTCTCCGTAAATTTAGGGGTTTCTTAAAAAAATTTTAAAAACAAGTGATTTAGGAATTCCCATATTTACTGTTCATTTCTGTCTTGAGAAGGAATGAGCACAGGTATTGCTTGAGTCTGATTTCCCATGATGGCAGCATAGGAATAATAGGCCAATACTGCATCATTTCCCACAGGCTAGTACTTTATCAAGAAAATCATGATGGGTAACTCTTGACAGGCTTTGTCTCTTTACAGTCTGCAGTCTCTTTTCAGTGATGCAATCATGTTCATCTCAATCTCTGTCCTTCTAGCTTTTCTCTTAACATGACTAATCAACATAGTTGTAGCTGTCCATTGCAGTTTATCAAAACTTGGTGGACTCTGTAGAGGATATATTGGATCGAAGGTTAGAACTGTATAGTACTATAGTGTGGTGCCTCACCCATCATGGTACAGGAGTCTGTGCAGCCATTAAAATTTCATTGTACAGCCCAGTGCACTCACGACAATCAGCTGCTTGCCAGGACATGGTCAGTTGTTACACTTTCAAAGCCAGTATCATAGAAGAAAAAAAAATGAAGCATTTAACCATAAAGAGACAGATGAAAGCATCACAGTCCTACATGTTTGACATGAAGACCTGCAATGACATTTTTTCTGTGCCGTCCTGTTGCATCAAGCTCCCATAGAACAGCCTTATTCATATTCGTATTTGCATGTGATATGCAAATAAAGCTAAAGCACAGGACAAAAATGTTCAACACTAGCATTGTGTAAACAGAGTAGTCAACTGTAACCATGAGATGTCAACATCAATCATCACCCTGCAGATTTTCAACTCTGGCCCTCTATTAACAGTAATAATTATGTTACATCTATGAACGAACATACCCAGAGAAATAAAACAATGTTATCTCTATGAAAAATGTGCTGTTGCTGAATGTATGCACAATGCATACTGTACGGCTTCCATTGCTGAGTCCAGTGGCATTGCTATCCCTACAACATGGCAAAGCATGGCAAAGTATCCAGACATTTTGTTATGCTGAATATTTTGCATAAAATATATAGACAGATGTGGTTTATAACAACAAAAATCCTCTTAGATTGAAATGGTGTTAAAAAAAAAAATCATAGATGGCCAGAAAGTTTTAGTTAGCTAGACATACATATATGTGGTTCTGTGCCTGCGTGTATATGCACACCAAGTCTTCATAATGCCATCATTCTGCACCATCCCACCACTCCTGCCCTCTGCATGCTCTGCATAATCACACCCCATCCAGCTCCAGTCAAATGATTGGGCTAACTGAGGGTCCCCTCTCCCCACTCCCTGGTCCCTCCTCCTTCCTGGTGCAGGTGTATTGAGGAGGATGCAGGACTGTTAGATCTGGAGCCTCTGCCGGGCTTCCCCAAGGGCCTGGAGCTCCATAAGCCTGGTGATGAGCCCTTTGACGTTAAAGACATTTTTAACACCTCCTTAGAGTCTGAGGCGCTGAAAGAAACACTGTTGAGGCAGGCTAAAACACAGGTATGTCACTGCACCCACCCAAGGTACAAGAAAGAGGTCATGAAATGTTTGTCCATATGGTCAGTGCTGACTATCTCATTTAAAAAGGAACGCTTTGACTGACAGATAACAGCATCTTATGCTAGTGGAGTTATCACCGAAAACCTTCTATAGGTCTATAGGACTGTTCTATGTCTATTATACACCCTTGATTGAATTGTGCAGACAAACGGAGCTTTCTCTCTCCCAAATACTTTTCCTTATCTCCCCCCCTTGTCTACCAGATAACACTATAACATTAACATAACTAACACATGGCTTTTTATCTTTGCTTACTAACCGCATATTTGCTGTCAAAGCCTTAGTGAAATTCATATAGTCTCTCTTACATGGTATTATTATTATTATTATTATTATTTGAATGTTTTTGTATGTTCTTATCATCTGTGATATAAGATTTTAGTTAGATTTGCACACCTTTTAGATTTTAGTTAGATTTGGAACAACCTGTTGGTTTAAACACACTCGTCTTCCTTTTGTTTTCCCCTTGCTTCCACAGGCTTATGCAATGATGCTCTCTCTGTCAGAGAACAACCCCCTGCACCCATCCTCCCAGAATTCGCTGGATGCCTGGCTGAACATGGGAGGAGGCCCTTCAGAAACCAGCTCCTTTCATCCACTCAACCACATCTAAGCCCAGAGAGCAAGGAGACAGTGAAGGATCGGAATAAGAGATGGGGAGAGAGAGGGGAAAGGATGGCTAAAGACATGTAAGAGAAGCATGTGTTAAAAAAGCACATGAAGAACAGCAACGCTTACAGTAGATGAACCACCACTTTAGTAGGGCAAAAGAGGCTCAGGAGGGAGCTCAGCCAACTGGACTGTTGGCTAAAACAGAGACACAAACCATTAGAGCTGTAGAGATCTCCTTTCCACCACAGATAAAGAGATTGACCAGACCACTCCTGGCCACACAGTACAGTACCCAGTCTGTCTGCCACTCCTGGCTTCAAACCAGCTGCCGAACCTGCAGTGTTCTCCACAGAAGCTCACTCTAGGAGGACTACTATGTACCAGTGACTTCACAAATCACCCCATTCCCATCATTTACTATCATGGCAACCATGCTTATGAAAGTGATGCACTGCATGACTAAAGCAGGTTGCTCTGAAGGTCTACAGTGGCTAAGAAAGGTATTTTTACATGTACACTAATGCATCCATATTCCCAAAGAATCCTCCATTTGGTTGAGTGGACATGCAGTGGGAGGGCACATTGCCTCAACAAGACAGGGTGTTTGCAAGCTGAACAGGGTTAATGTTCTGCATTCTGTCCTCTAGATGTCTCCAAAAAGCCACAACTGCACTGTTAAAGGTTCAATTGGAACATCCGTTTGCAAATTGCCACAATATAAAAATCAAAAAGAGGTGAGAGAGTAGTAGAAGTAATTGGAGTCACTTTCATTTCCAATCATGTACCTCATTTTATATCGTTCCTCCATGAGCAAGATTTGGACAATTGATTGTTGATCATTTTTAGAGCAGTAAAACTTCTGCAATGCATTACTGCTCAATTACATGTACACTTATTGTACACAGGCCTTTGTCTGAACTGAGAATTTTGTTTGAAGAGTTAAATTATTCTCCTTTGGAGGCATTTGGAATATCCTCTTCACTTCCTCATGCATTCACTAAGGTTATCCTCTTTTTGTATGTGATTTGTTCTTCGATAAACAGTATTGTTTCCTTTCAAGCACATCTGTGCTTAAATGTTAATATAATTATTTAGTGAAGGACCAAATTTGTACGATATTGTTGTATGATGTACAAAATAATTTGAAAGTTCGTAGCAAAGAGTGTTGTGTGCCAAATAACCCTTTTTTTCCTTGGACAATCATTTCTTGTTTTCTACAGTGGATGTTGCCACTGTTTTAGTAGTGTTTTCTCTCCCTTATTGCCTACTCACACTATACATTTGATTTGAGTTTTTGTTTTCTATTTATTTTAGTTTTTCATTATTCATAAAAGAAAAATGACTCAAGAAAAAAAAAATCTCACCCACTCTACTTTTCTGAAGGAATGAAATTTGAAAAATATGATTGAGATGCGTGATCTCGCAATGCTCTGAAGGTTGTTGTATAGAGACCGGTGTGCCAAAATTTAAATGACAAAATTAACTGTTATATTTATGACAACTTAGTCTTGGCACCAGTCTATTTGTGTCCATTGTGAGGTTTGTTTTGTCTTTCGTTTGCTCAACCATTTCAAACTGTATGTGCAGTGTTTGATGTTGAACAAATGGTTGAAATTTTTTCAATGAAATTCTTTGATTAAAGCTTCAGGTAACTTGAATAGTGGGGCATTACATTTTTACACTCATATTCAATCATACTGTCCGTTTTAGTCTACCCATTTTAACTACAGCAACAGAAAGACCCTGTAACACATTCTGAAAGCTTGACTCCCTGTGTGTGTGCCACTGTATTCAAAACACTTTAACACATCCTGTTTTGTAATGGGAACCCAGAAACCATTCGGTGAGTTGCTTACGTTTAATGGGCGCATGTGCTAGATGTTTAAGCCTTGGAACCAACTGCATAGAGTGATTTTATTATCTAATAATATCTCTTACAAACAAAAGCAGCTGCTGTTAATGGAAGAGGCTAGAATAGAATTTAATCAGTGGGGTCAAATGGTGAGCTGTGAGGCCTAACATCACCGCTGATATGTGATCGTAGTTAGGGTTTGGGCAGGAAGCACACTCCCTGAATACGCATTTTAGCATAGCACCAGGGCTCGGGAGTCCTCGTGCAGCTCGATGAACTGTGAATCCAGCGCATGAATCGTACAAATAAAGAAAATGACTAACCACAAACTCATGATGAATGTGTAGAGTAGATTTAATGTGTGACTAACGTATCAAACTTCTGTCAGACAAAAACCCTTCATCTTCAGTCATTTTTGGGAGCCAGATGGAATCATATCTTTCATTATTACTTCTTTTGTCACAGTCTTTTCTTTTGTGTACTCTCCTTGCATATGGCTTAGGACACTCCCTCTGGAGTGTAGTGCAAACTGCAAATGAGCACTTAAATACAGGGCACTCATGTCTATGAGCTACAGAGTTAGTTCGGGTCCAGCTTAAATAAGATTCTTCAAAAAAGGCTGTGTGATTTTAACAAGCACTTTAACCCAAGAGACAGTACAGCATGCTGGCACTAGGAACCACTCCAGTATGAGTGAATATACACCACAAGAAAAAGATATCATGCGAGAGAATTCACTTTAACCTGGAGTGCTATAGTAGTCCTATGCCACTAGATGGCGCCTCTGTATCATTTTGCCACATTCTCAATTTCAATAATATATTTTCACTGTACAATGAATAGGAGTTCACATGTGCTCCCTACTAACTAGCACTGCTGGACATATTTAGGAATATTACATATGGAGAGGTTCATGTCACATACTACTGTAATAAACAAGCGCTGTAGGTGGTGGAGAAATTGATCCACATGTTGGGGGAAAAAACACGAAAGAATGGTCACAAACTGAACTTAATATGGACATTATTTTTGGCCCACTGTTACAATACAAAATAAATGTAAAACCATAAACCATAGGTAATTATGGTTTCTATAAAACTGTATAATATTTCAAAAAAAAGTAATGTTGCATATGTCTGAAAATTAGTTGAAAACATGGGTTTGAAAATAGATGGTGCTTGTTTCATTTGAATCTGAGTTGTATATCGCTTCTGTTTAATAAAAAAAGCAAAAACAAAAAAAAAAACAAAACAAAAAACCTATTGTGCATGACTTGTGTTTTAGCGGTCATAATGGTGTCCATTTGTGAAATGTGTATCTTAAATTAAAAAGAAAAAAATGGTCATAAAAAATGAATTTGTAGATGCACTTATTGTACATGTGGTTAGGTTAGTAGGTTTGACTTTAAGTCCTTGTTAACTGCCTTAAATGCAATGGGCAGATGGTTATTGAATTAAACAATATGCTTGTGGGAGAGAAATAATGAAAAAAATGAAAGGATTGTAGAATAATAATTCTGAAATTGCAGTTCTTTTTTCATGCTTGTGATTACTGAAGATGTACTTTAGAGAAATTTCATGGAAAAGACATGATTCTGATGTTAATTCTGTAGAATAGATATGTATACCAAATGTAATCTTTCCAATGCTATGAAGAATTTATACATGAAATTGATATGCAATAAAAACCTGTGTGCTTTTTATATGAATGCCGCCCTTTGTTTTTACATTTGCGTTTATCTGTGTGTATGATGGGACTGTTTCATATAGTTAGTAGCTTAATAGTGGCATAATAGTGAGTGGCTTAAAAACACTGACCATCATGTTGTAATTAATAACTAAAATGATCTGTGTACTTTTTAAGATTCCTTGATATTTAGTCTCTCAAAACTGATCATTTATATTGTGCGCCTGTTTGGTAAATTTCAGTGCCTCTTGTTTACTTTCTGTCTGTTGTAGTAATATCAGTTCTTAAGGATTTGTGGCTGTAAAGCTTCCATTGATCTCTCTAGAACTCAGGATCAGATGGACCACCAGTACCTGAGCGCACTAACGCTGCTGTGGCTACATGTAATAAAATCCTCACAGCAATGTTCCAACATCTAGTGCAAGGCCTTCCCAGAACACAGAGGCTATTCCTGTGTCAAAAGTGGAGGAGGTGGTGAGCATAAACTTTTGGACATATAGTGTGCTTATGCATTGTATAAACTTTTTCTCCATCTATTTAGGTAATAAGACACAAAACAACACATATTTTTTATTTCTTTATCAAAACTATAGACAGATTGAGGTTTTTTTTAATCGCTGAGATGTTCAAATAGTATTTTGTGCAATTACGCACATTGTTGCATGATGTACACACATGCAGACAAGTGGCATTTTAGTGGTAAAAAAAAAAAAGAAATAACATACACAACTGTCACATTCCTGCCGTTTTGGATTAAAAAGTGTCAGAACTGAAGGGAAACAAATCATGGTGTTGTTTACTGTTACAGTGAAGTAATAGGTTTCAGCTAACAGTAGTCTGGAGGTTCCTAACATTACCAGCCTCAATCAACTATCCATATACATGAACATCATGTATCATACATGACTATTTCTGTTTGGCTTTCTTTGATTCAGTTAGTTTTCCTAAGATAATCTGTATGTTTCTTCCTTTCACAAGCAATGAGCTACCCTTGGTTGAAATATTTATTCGTTTATTTATTATATTTGTTTTCTCTCTCTTTTCTCATTTTCACTGTACTTCCTCTTTTGTCCTGCTTGGTGTTTGTGTTAACATGCTCCTTCTGTCCAGTTCTTCTTGACATTTATCACTAAAGCCCTTTCAGTATCTCACTCTTTTTATGTTCTTGGAGGTCCAATGAATAAACAGAATACACAGAGTCATGGTCTAAATCTTAACATCGGTACATCTCTGAGTTTATGGCCAAGCAACGTATTAAAATAACCTATATACATTTTTTGCTGCACAAATATGGCAGTGTTTCCTGGTTTAAGCTTTAAGCGCAGAGAACAGATCAGACCAGCTCATGCGACTTAGTCTTAACATGAACTTACCAAAATCAGACAGCGTTACACACAAAACGATACCGGTTTAATTCATATATGAATACAGTTGGACACGGCAGCGAATTGCAGCATCAAATTGTATTGATGATATGTCTCTTTAAGGAAATCAGCATCATATTGGAGGAGTGGAGCAGGTGGGTGTTTCTCTCACTAAGCAAAACAAGCTTCGGAAGACTTGAGCGGCGTTTCCCTGCAGGAAACAGCTCCGTTCAGCTCATACGGTGTCGTTTATTCGAGGTTGTCCTAAAGCTCGGCGTCGACTGCTGCACTTTCAGCCCGATACAATGCTGCAGCTGAACGACACCGTGGAGCCTGAGAGTCCTGGGGCCGCAGTGCTACACGCAGCCGAGGTGGAGGACGGGGTGGAGGTTGCCTTCACGCCGCCTGCGGCCCGTCACAGTCGTGGCTTTGAAGCCGCCTCCGTAGCCTGCTGCTCCCCGCTACAGAAACTAACGCCCTTTCGCGTCCACAACCCAACGATGCAGGCAAAAGTCAAGGATTACTTTGTGTTTAGGGTAAGATATAAACCATGTCCTAATCACCGTTAAGTCTCCGAGTCTTCGGCAGCCACTCTGGCTAGCTAGGTTAGTTAATCTGGCTAGCTGGCTAATTTGCAATATTACAGTTATTATTATCTTCCCATCACGTTATTAAACAGTACGTCACGACACTTTTCTACAGTTTAGCCAAGTTATTAATACAGTTCCACTGGTGGGTATTTAATGACGTGATTTTCCCTTTTTATTTATCTTGCTCTCAAAAATACTAACCCAGTCGTCCTGATAAGTAGTTTTATCAGGGAACTGTGACGTTGTTGAAGTTATTCAAGTAGTTCAACGACATTTTAAGTTAACCTCGCACAGTCACGCTCTGGATGAGTTATAGGTTCAGTAAGAATATGATTTTACATGCATTTATATACGCACCGTTAACCTGAACTCAGCCTCAACCACATCAGGAATTTCAAAGCAGTGGACCCTACGAAGTCCAGGTTGAGTCCCTAATGCAAGTTTACTTAGTGTTTCTAAGGACATCACTTTGTACTGAAAATGATTAGAGACAAGCAGCAGGAAGAGGTCAGAAATGCTGCGAGCTCGGTGAGAAAACAGGATCACAGTGTCAGCTCGCTTTACGGACACACTTAGGCACCAGTACAGTCACATCCATCCGTCCATCCTGTTTATTTGTTAAGGAGCTAAACCCCTCACATTAAAGGCTTAGTGTTTAAATTACACCCCCTTTGCAGAAGCGGTTAGGAACAGCCCTCAGAGCTCATCACTGTTTTTGGCTATGCAGAGGGGGTCACAACTGATCCTGAAACACACAGCAGGCATAGCTACATGATACAGATTAGCACTAACGCTAACATGTTAACTACAGGCCGGCTTGTTAACTAAGTTAGCAAGCAAAGATAGATTAAAAGTTAACTTACCATGTTACGAGTCTTAGGTCGGTAAAGTTAGGTTGATATTGGATATTCAGCGGATATTCGCGTTTCGCCCCTCCTATTGCTCACACACAACCTCTTAAAATTTCTGAAATAACATTTTCTAAATTGTGGTAAAACAGAAAACAACTACAATCTTTATATTTCGCCGAAGTACCCGATCTTTCCATTTCGCCAAGTAGATATGATGAAAATAGTCGGAATGGCTGCAGCGGTCGCTTAACACAGTAAGGGACCGTCTGTAAAGTGCAGGTACTGCTTAAAAACGTAAAACATCCACATACATGAGCAGCTTGTTGGTGTTTATAAAGACCTGACACCTACTGAAATAGAAAGATGATGTGATAACCAATACCTGACATTAACAAGTATACACTTTTAACAAATTAGGCAGTCTAAAGGCGTATGCAGTGGACCTACAAATTGAATTGAGACACACTGAACAAACCTACTGCAAAATAAAATAACTTGTACTTAATTAAACAACATAATACAAATAACATACAAGCTTTGGTTTGAGACACTCCTGACAAACATACTACAACCTTTAGTTTGGTAAAATATGTCTCAAATGAATTTTAATGGTTTATTTCTAGAAATAAATTACTACTCTGTCACATCCATATGACATAAAGATCTTGATCGTTGGTTTCTGGTGTGGCTGCTGCATTGTGTCACTGATTTTTGTTTTTAAGAGATTTTCAGAAAATTATTATGCTAAAATTTTAAAATGTTTGAATTCAAAATTTGCTGGTACTCTTATCACACACTCTCTTCTATTTGGCTATTTATATAAAATGTGGAACTTGTGAAAGTTGGCTCCATGCAGACTGCTTTGGAATGATACCAGGTGCTGTTCCTGATGAGTAAACAACATGGTAATGTGAAACGTGTGAAACGGATGTGTAAAAAAAGTAGTTCAGTAAGATATGTGTACTGCGAAGTAAGTATTTTTAAAATAGAAACATTGCAACAAATAATTTTTAATTTTTACTGTATTGTTAGTTTAGTGTTGTGTAAGTTATAGTCAGCTGTTTAGCAATTCGTACCCCAGAATATATTTATTTTAATTCTGCACATCTTTGGATACACTGATGGCAGTTTGTACTTAATGTAGACTGGATACACTTTTGTCAGTTTTATTTCTTTGTTTTTTAAAGATGAATATAATTTTTTGTCACATGGATGTGCCTCAGCAACACTTCATTCATAATGATAATCAGACTACTGTATGTTGTTCATGTGCGACAAATTATTTGTTCCAGAAAAAACAAATTTTGCCACAATATGCTAATAAGGTTGTAGTTTGCTTGAGAAAGGTTTTTCAGGAAAATTCTAGTGCATGTATATTGAATATTCTAGTAGGACTGCAAAACATGTCAAAGTTAAAATGTATTGCCCAAAATTAAAATGCCCACGGCGCAGCTTTGCATAACATGCTCCTAAAACTTCATATATATATATATATTGCATGTTTTCCAAACCAAAGGTTTGAGATATGCATAAGTTCACTAAAGGTGACTGTAGATCTGTATGTCAACAGTTTGTCAGAATAGCCATAATTATTAGAAATTAAACAATTACAAATATTAAAATCTTCACATTTATAGTTTTATTATAGGTTTGCATTATTTGTTAAAACAAATGGGTGCCGCGGTAGTATACAGGCACCAACCCTCTTTATTAGGGACAATCTGACTCTCATAGTCATCAGAGGAAGGTGTCAGTACATCGGCAAGCAGGCACAAACTAGGCAAATTTACAATCAAAATCCAACAAAACAGAAGAATGGTTAAAACAAGAGATATTGCAGAACAAGAACATGGTTAAGAAATGCACTCAGAAAGCTGCAACACTTTGCAAGGCAAGAGACCAAAGTCTTTACATTTAAAACCATTTGTCTTGGCTGTCAGCATATTTTGGCTTGTAAAAACACAATAAAACATTCAAATTAATACAAACAAGCATTACAGTCAGTGAAGTAAAATGTAATAAGTATTTCTTATGTTTTTAAAAGTACCTGAGATATTGTGAGCTGGTTAGAGCAGCAAAGTTTAGTTCCCAGATTCTCCTTAATGTCCTGAGCCATGACATGGACTGGTTCAAATCCAACAACCAGCACTCCTGATTTAATGAAAGACTAATTAACGAAACCGGCTATTGGACGAAAACTACAATTATTACTTGATGTCCACAAGGGTTTAGAAACCCCAAGAGGGTTTGGAATGTTTGGAAATTTGTATTCATCCTAATATTTATGTTTTTCTTAACATTCTTAATTGCCTACTGACCAATTATATAGCTTTTTAAATACGTTTTTCTCAAGTGCCTAAAACATTAAATCAGTACTGTTTGTTTGTTATTCAGTCTTAGAAATGGGCCACAAGTGTGTGTGTGGTAATAAGTGAGTGGAGTCAGAGCTAGAGCGGGCCAGTCCCAAACAAGAGTACACTACATAAAGTGAGACTCCCAAAGCCCAAAACAGTGGGTGAATCTGGACCACAGGATTGGCAGTTTGGACAGGCTTGAGGAGCTGGTCAGTGGTGGAGGCTGGCTGAGCAGGACACTAGAACCCCTGGTGGAACAGGAGAATGGATTAACACCAAAAAGTTCATAAGCCTGAAGCTTGATCATTTCCAACCCCATTTCCAAAAAAGTTGGGACGCTATACAAAATGTAAATAAAAACAAAATGCAGTGATGTGCGAATCATTTAAACTCAATATTTAACTGACAGTAGTACAAAGATAAGATATCAAATGTTGAAACTGAGAAATGTTATTGTTTTTTGAAAAGTATTTGCCCATTTTGAACATGTTTCAAAAAAGTTAGGACAGAGACAACAAAAGGCTGGTAAAGTTGTGAAATGTTAAAAAAAAAAAAACAAACCTGGTGTTTGTTTGATTGGCTGAGTGTCTCAGAAGTAAAGATGAGGAGGGGTTCATCAATCTGTGAAAGACCGCACAATTAAATAGTGCAACAGTTCAGGAATAACGTTTCTTGACATAAAATAGCAAAGAACTGTTGCTTTTCATCATCTACAATACGTAATGTCATTAAAAGATAAAAGAAATCTCTCTGTAGTGGAAATCACTGCATGGGCTCAGAAACACCTCTGAAAACCACTGTCTGTGAAAACATTTCATCACTGCAACCACAAATGCAAGTTAAAACTCTAAAACACAAAGAAGAAACCGTATATAAACAGGACCATAAATTCTCTGGGCCCAGTCTCATTTAAAATGGACTGAGGGGAAGTGGAAAAGTGTCCTGTGGTCCAATGAATCGAAATTTGAAATTCTTTTCCCAACTTTTTTGGAAATGGGGTGCTCAAAAATACTCAACTCTACACCTGAAAAACGACATACTAATCACTACAAGTGATTTTAGATGTGTAAGTCATATGGATGTTACAAAGTATCAGCAGGGTTGTAGTTCCACCACACCTGAATCTAGTATTCAGATGCTCTTAAAGAAGTTCATCAAGTGTATGCTCTAAAGTATGTGAGATCAGGACTGGAACTATGCACAGATTGCCACAAGCAGGGTTGGGCAGCCATATAAGATGGAAGTGATTCTCTGGCGGCCATAAAAATGTAGAGGTACTTTTTAGACCTAAAGTTATAGTAGGGTCAATTGATGTGTCTTAATAAATTAAAAGTGATTTTAGCTCAGTATGTCAAATAGGTGAATAGGGAATTTTAAAGAAGAATAATTAAAACTGACATACACACATTTTCTAAGCTGTTTATCCTTCTGGGTCGCATGGCGGGGGGGCTATCCCAGCAGTCATTCGGCGAAAGGCAGAAAACACCCTGGACAGGTCGCAAGTCCATCGCAGGAAGTTAAAATCCAATCAGAGAATACATTTAGTAAACTAAAGGTTGAAATAGGTTTGTGACATGTTCACTGCAAATCAGTGTACACTACAATTGTATCACAGTATCCATTTATTTCAAGAAAAAATTCATTAAAATTCATTTGAGGCATATTTTACCAAAAAGTTGTAATATGTTTGTCAGGCATGTCTCTGTACACTACAAGTGATTTAGATCTAAAGTCATATGTGTCACAATGTTTTATTTCTGAAGAAATCATTAAAATCAGTCGAGGCATATTTTCTAAAACTAAAGGTTGTAGTATGTTTGTCAGGTGTGTCTCTGTACACTACAAGTGATTTTAGATCTGTAAGTCATATGGATATGACACAGTATCAGTTTATTTCTATAAAAAATTCATTAAAATTCAGTCGAGGAATATTTTATCAAACTAAAGGTTGTAGTATGTTTGTCAGGCATGTCTCTCTACACTACAAGTGATTTTAGATCTATAAGTCATATAGATGTGTCACAATAGTGATTTATTTCTGTAAGAAATTCATTAAAATTCAGTCGAGGCATATTTTACCTAACTAAAGGTTGTAGTATGTTTGTCAGGTGTGTCTCTGTACACATGTACGTGACACAGTAGGAATTTAAATGTCATAAAAAAACAAAAAAGGAATATGTTATCAAACTAAAGGTTGTATTATTTTTGCAAGATGTGTACCTGTACACTACAAGTGACTTTAGATGTGTATGTCTTATGGACGTCTCACAGTAGCAATTAATTACATATAAAAAATAATCTCTGCAATTCAACTAAGGCATATTTTATCAATTTAAAGGTTGTAGTATGTTTGTCAGATCAGGTCAGATGTATACTTGTTAGTGTCAGTTATTGATTTTCACATCATCTTTCTATTTCAGTAGGTTTAAAGTCTTTATAAATAACGCCAACAGGCTCCTCATGTCGTTGAATGTTTTACGTTTTTAATCAGTACCCACACTTTACCGACGGTCCCTTACCGTTTTCGGCGCCTACAGCAGCGATTCCGGCTATTTTCATCAAAAGTACTCGGCGAAATGGAAAGATCGAGTACTTTGACTAAATATAATGATTGTAGTTTGTTGTCTGTTTTACCACGATTTAAAAAATGTTATTTCAGAATTTTTAAGAGGTTGTTTGTGAGCGATAGGAGGGGCGAAACGCGAATATCCGCTGAATATCGAATATCAACCTTCACCGACCTACGAGTCTTTGTCGTTATTACACCAGAAGCCACAGACTAAAAGACAAATAACACGTATTACAGACATTGTTAACCTGCCTCATTAGGGAATTACGCTAGAAAAAATACTATAATTCTGTAAATAACGTTAAGATTCTGTATATTAAGTCTAAGAATAACAATAAGATGAGGCCGTTAGTTTCAGCTCTAACAATTCTTCCTATTTAGGAAACATGACGGTTAGAAAGAGTCGTTATTCCATTGAATTTTAAATTTTGAACGAGACTGAGCGTGCGCGCGGGCTGCGTCAGAGTGCAGTAGCTGATAGACCCCTGTAGTCCGCGTAATGCCCATATGTGGAACTCTGGGTCTAAGCTCGATTTCTCTAAGGTCAGAATGAATTGGGCTTACGAAAAATCGCCTCTATCGCGCCATGTGGTAAATAAAAATGTTGAGGACCTGTTATGTTTTGTCCTGTGGTTTCTCCTGTACATCACTGGATCCTCTGAATTACGAGGTAAAGAGACATAATACTAATATTGCTACATGCAAACTAACACTGCTGCACATCAAATTGACGTCACTAAGCTGCATTAAAGTAACGCGGGTGTTTTGATAGCATCCATAGCCTGCTTCCTTGTCGAAATGTCCCACTGTAAGCGTATATTTATAAGTAGGTCAGAAATACTACCAGCATTAAAACTAATCTGAAACTAATCTTAAAACTGAACTAAGCTGAAGTCAGCTTCTTTTTCACTAGTTTGTCATTCGAATGAATGCCCCATGGTGATAGAGCTGTCTAATACTATTTTGTATAAAACCACAGGCAATGTAGTAGAATATTCTAATGTGTTATATGTTTAATAATGTGGAATGATCAGCTGGAAAGTATGATTTTTCCTACAGACTGTCCTAGTGATGGCTTTTAGACAAACAGGTATTTTGCCAGACAGTTTTCTTTCTTTCTTTTTTCTTTTTCTTTCTTTCTTAGCAAAACATTTTAGACTAGCTACACCTTCAAAAAGTGGCAGAGAAAAATAAGGAGTTTCAAGAAATGGTGTGAGCATTTTCCAGTTTTAAACAGTGCCTATGCATGTTGAGAGCAAAACGCTCCAAACACCAGTCAACCGCTGTTGTTTGTTTGTTTTTTCTTTAATAAATAAATTAGTACATTCAGCTAAAACTACTCAGTCTGCAAAAATAAGGTGGAATCTGCTCTAGAGCATCAGTCAGGTGGGTACTAGCTGTGTCTGAATGAGTTGTGAGGCACATCACTGATCTTTCAACCTTTTTTATGGAAAAGGCAGCAAATGCCTGTTAGATTGTTGGAAAATACACAAATGATTTCCCTATAAAGTTTGTGTGGTTTCATTGTTCAAGCTCAGAGCCTCTGTTCCTGTTGTGTACGTTCTATTCTCTGTCATACATCCAGGGCACATTTGAACACATTTATTACTTGACTGAGCATTAAGTGAGTATCCAAGTATCCAACAATTGCCCAGACCATAATGACTCTGGTGAAAGCAGGTTAGGGCAAACTGATGCACCAGATGAGGGTGCAGAGCTTCCTCTGTGAGACCTCAGCATGCCAGTTGGTACTTTATAGATGACTCTTTTAGAAAGTCAAGTTGTAGGCTATTCAAATTAGAGACAAAATGATGAATCATCAGTTATCATTGTACATTTGACGCTGACTGTAGCTCATATTTCCTTTCTGACTAGTTATGAGGGAACATTCCATACAACAGATTGAATCTTTGGATTATCATAAATGAGCAGTTTGAGTAAACATTGGTGCAGTAATACCCAAAGGCCAGCATGTTGCCAACTGATCTAATTAATGAAAGCAGTGTAAAGCCTGGCATATCAGATACACTGATAATGCCACACAAATCTAGCCCTCTGTTTTGCTCTCCAGCCAGGAACCATAGAGCAAGCAGTGAACGATATCCGCACAGTGGCCTTGCCTTCAGAAGATGGTGAAGTTCTGAGTGTGTGGCTTTTGGCAGAGTGAGTCTTGTCCTCTCTTGTTTTCTTACCAAATTCTTCAGCGAATTGTCATACAGTTGTTAAAGGAAGTTTTGCAAGAATTTAGAGTCTTGTTCTGTATTCAGCCTCAAGCTTGATAACATATCCCAAGCATACTATTATTGCCATTTATATATTAAATTGATATAAGAATGAACTCTTATGAAAGCTAACATAAATTTTACATATACATAAAGTTAAACACCAAAACAGCTGGTAAGCTTGTAAAATTCATCTGCAGTTAAAATATACATGCATGTATTATATTGTTTATTACAAAGTCAAAATGGTATTTTGTTTAGCAGTCTTTCTCAGGCCTGCTTATCTTTTCAGAATTGATCACTGGAACAATGAAAAGGAGAGACTGGTGCTGATAACAGAGAGGTGAGGAAGGAATTCAGATTCACATTCACATGATTGTATTAGTCAACTGTGGGAGTTTATCTGCTCATAGTTTGCTGATGTGTGCTGTGCTGTTTTGCAGATCTTTGCTGGTTTGCAAATATGACTTCATAAACTTGCAGTGTCAGCAGGTCATCAGAATTTCCTTGAATGCCGTGGACACAATTTCGGTCGGGGAGTTTGAGTTTCCCCCTAAATCTCTCAACAAGTAAGACATACACTAAGGAGGGAAGAGCCACATTATTAATAAATTTAATTACTAGTGTCTGCAGTTTTGTAATTCTGATTCTATTTATTTAATCAATATGCTTGGGAGGCCTTAGAATATTGCATTTATCGCAAGTGTTCTACAATGTTACTAATGTTTACAATTGTTGGTGAGCATTCAGGTTATTTTCCCTCCTCTAACACTACAGTAAACTTTTATAACAAGATTAATGATGCCATTCTTGTTGCAGGAGTTATCATCTCTTTGTCTGTATGCATGTCTGTGTGAAGGAGAGAAGGCACTGGTATCCGTGTGCAGTGGGATAAACGGCCGAGGCCTTCATTCCTAAACCGTTGGAACCCCTGGTCCACTGACATGCCCTACGCCACATTCACAGAGCACCCAATGGCCCACGCTGATGAAAAGGTGGCTTCCCTCTGCCAGGTACATTAAAGAAATTAAAGAGCATTTTGTGTGGTTCACCAAATATCATGTTAGTTTGAGTAATCACAGCAATTCCAGCTGTTCGCTTTTTTGTTCTGCACTGATGTGTGGGTTGGGTGCTATTTTCCTCTCAAATTGGAAGCAAATCTGATTGGTTGCCTGCACCATGGTTGACAAAAATGTGGTGTAAAAAATACAACAGTTAGATTTCTGTGGTTATTTGATGTGCTTGCTGATAATTACAGACCTAACACACAATGGGAGGCCTGATTGTGTTTCACTGGTGCCACCAGCTTTGTTAATATCATACTCCATGCATAGCATGCATTGAAAACAATACATTGCACCACTTTTATGAAGATGAATTTGATCAAAATGCAACAACTACTTTTGACAAATCATGTAAAAATCAATGTAATTAACATATCTTCCACATGACTGAAGTGTAAATAACCTTAACCCGTAATGGGTCTTAAGCTTACAGTGAACATTTGACTTGCTGTGAGGAACTTGTAGATGACTGCCAATGACCTAACTGTTTCATCCATCAGCTGGAGAACTTTAAAACTCAGCTTATCCAAGCTGTAAAGAAGGCCCACAAGGAGTGCCCCATCCCAGGACGGGCCAACGGAGTGCTGCTGCTGGAGCGGCCCCTCCTAATAGAGACTTACCTTGGCATCATGTCCTTCATCAACAACGAGGCCAAACTAGGCTACTCCATGACCAGGGGCAAAATTGGCTTCTAGTTCTCCCTGATCACCAACCAGGCACCACCACTGACTGGTATCGCTACACTCAAGAATGTCAAGCTAAGTGAACCCTTTTGTGTCGCTTGCCAGATGTCAGTGGGGGTGCCCTCTCCACCCTGACAGTATGTGTCACTGACTCTGCAGCATGTGCCGGGAAGCATCTGATGCCAACATTGATGCCTCCTTACTGGGCAGTTCCATCCAGCTTTTCCCCCCTCTGTGCCCCACAACCTACCAAATGGATTTTTAAAGAGTCTGTTTGATGATGTGGGATGAGTTGGAGTACGTGATGGCTGATGGAGCTTTGTATGTAGCAGTGGTAGAAAGGGATGAACATATATCTGCCATAATAACGTTTGGCATTAGCCATGAATAATTTGACCTCAGAGTCTAATTTAACTTTTCCCTTTATTAGCAAGCTAAGATAGCAGCCTTAGGCCTTTAAGAGGATCTTTATACTCATAAATCTCTTTTTCAAACATGGTTCTTTGGGGAACCAAACTGCTTCCTCTGTGGCATTGTGCAAAAAAACCATGTGACCCTCTGTGGTCTTTTTTTTTTGTTTTGTTTAAGAGGGATGTCAAGTCATTCTCTCACAGTGACATGAAACCCTGACAGTAAGAAAATGTTCTTTGTAATTAAGAAGGTGAATAGCCATAATTTCTTAGTAATCAATCAGAAACCTACAGCCAATTTGTTCTTGCTTTTGATTTTCTAGACCTTTTAATGCAGCAGCACTTTGAGTGTCTGTTACTGTGGAATTATGTAATGGCATCCATAAGCTTATGGAACAAAATTTAGTCCTTAATGCTTGTTAGAAAAGGAAAATTGTTAGCATTAGTTATCACCAACTTTAAATTGTATAGGAGACAGATGTTTAAATTCAGCTACTGTGATGAAAGTTGTGATAGTATGTAAAATGCTAATAAAAACAAAGCAGTGGTTAGAAAATTGACCTATATAAAACTGAAAACGGTACAGAGCACAATTTGTTTTATCTTATGAATTTTATTATTTTGGGGGTTTTCTGTAAGTATATGCTCATTCCAAACATGCTGCCTGCACCATGTTCCAGCAAGTCAGGACACAAGCATATTTACCACTGTGTTACATTACCTTTCCTTTTAAAAGCACTTAATCATTTGGGGACTCAAGATATTAATTGATCCAGTTTTGAAAGTCTAATTTTTTACCATTATACAGTTAAAGAAAGTCTACAGCTGCGCAAACGTACGGGGCTTAGTTATCATATTTTTCATTTCGTAATGCGCTGCACGTTTTCAATAGAAGACAGGCAGGTCAGTCTAACTGATTACACAACCACACTGTTTTAACATGTGCACAATGTTTCTCGCTATTGCCCTGTTGGAATAAGCATGGACAGACTCTGGCTTTTGAACTTCACGCTGGTAACAATCTGGATGTTCCTTTTCTTCTTTGCCCTGGAGAACACAACGTCTGTTGTTTCCATTATTAAAAACAATCTGAAAGGTTGACATATCACAACACGTTTCTAGTGTGCAACAGTCCATTTTAGATGAGCTCAACCCCAGAAAAGTCGGCAGCGTTTCTGGATGTTATTGACATATGCCTTCCATAGTGCATAGAAGTCTTAACTTGCATTAGTGGATGCAGCAATAAACAGTTTGTCAAAGTATTCCCAAGCCCATTTGGTGATGTCCATCACAGAAGCATGCTGGTTGTTTATGCAGTGCCGTCTGAGGGATCGAAAGTCACGGGCTATTCAGTTGTGGTTTTTGGCCTTGCTTTTTTTTATGCAGAGATTTTTCCGGATTCCCGTATTCTTTTGACGATACAATGCTCTGTAGGGAGTGAAATACCTAAAATCTTTGCAAACACTTGATAAGAATGTTGGACTATTTGCAGATGCATTTTTTTTTACCCTTACTTTAGGCCTTTCCTGAATGGTATTTGTATACCCAAGCATGGGTACATCACCTATTCTAAAATGTTTTCTATGCATTTAACATCTGTAGTCTTAAACTGCTCATGCCCCAACTATTTTGGAACAAGCTGTAGGCATCGATTTCAGAATGACCGTATATTTACAAAAACCAATGCTGATATGGTAAAACATTAAATATGTTGTCTTTGTACTGCTTGCATTTAAATACTGGTCAAAGCAGAATTACAAACACTACTTCTTGTTTTTTCATATGACATACCATCACAGCTTTTTTGTAACTTTGTAAACAACACTGAAGGAGTCTGGAAGCAAAGGCTGATTACTTGTTTATCCCTATGTACAGCACCTTAAATTTAGTGCACTGACTTTTTTTGTTAGAGAGAGAGACCAGCCAGTGATTTCTGAATTGAATTGAATTCATTGAATACATTGAATAGGCCACAGAATTGAATAAAGCAAAACATGACAATTATAGCTAGTTAATTATTCCAGTGAAATATGGCTGTTCGTAAACAGGTTTGTTCCTAATTTATTTCACTTAAAGCTCGGAAGCACATGCATAATAGTTGGAACAGATAAGCTGGCTTTCAATCCAAATATTGCCATTTATAATGAATTAATTTTACCCTGTTGTACTCACTGATTATAAATATGAAACAAATGTCAATACATATAGTTAATACTATATAAAGCTCCACATTTAAAAATGATAGCTGTTCAAATGGATTTTCGGAGGCATTACCACTAGAAGACTTATCTTAACAACCTTTGGTGTGTCTCAGCTTTATTATTCATTACATTTCATCACCTCCAAGTAATAACATCAAGGCATGTTTTATCAGTAACGTTAGGAATAAGTCATATTATCATCAAATTTGGCAGTGACTTTGTTTTGAAAGAACTCTCTCTTTTTTTTAATTTGTTTGACTGTCTACTAATGTTATTCCCTGCTCAGGTTAGGTTAGCACACTTGCTAGTTTCAAATGATATTAAAAGTTGAAGCAAAGGTGTTTAGCTTGGAGGTGAATATGGGTTCTCAGATGTGTCTTTGCTTGTGCTTGTTTTTATTTATACCTTTTTTTTCCTTTTTCTTTTTCCTGCTTTCACTTCAGTGTTTAGTGATGTATTTGTACCAAAGTGCTAAAGTCATAATGGTGGCACTGTTTCTGAAGTCAGGTTCTTTTCTTCTTCTTTCTTGTGGTAAAAATGTATAAAGTTTTGCATGTCATCTATGCATGTGGTTTACTGGGTGTGAAAAGTCTGGTTTTATGCATATGACATTTGTACTCTGGTCATGGCTTCAAATCACCCATTACAGCTTTAAAGCACATTTTCTCTGTCAAAATATTTATAATTAAGACTCATAAGTGCAAGATTACTGTTATTAATCAATTTATCCACACCTAACTGATGGGGCAGTTTCTAAAACCCAAAGTAGACCTGGTGTTAGTCGTTCTACTGCAACAATTTTCCAGATACATATTTAAAAAGAAACCAGCCTCAGCGTTGTAGTCTTAATTTTGTTGCCATTACTGCTGATATCCATCCTTTGGGTTTGTACTGTAACAATGACCGTGCTCAAAGTAAATAAAATGACTACATTCTTTTACTTCTGTTCCTTTTTCATTTGAGTGAGGGGGGCTTTGAATGATTCATTTGTACTTATACAGGATCAAATGCAAGCCAAGAAAACAACTTGAATTTGTAGCAAACTTTATTAAAAAATAATCCTAAATGTACAAAAATAATCCTAACTTCTAAATTTACACATAAAAAATAGCCTCCTTCCTACGTGGTCCTTAAAATTTTACATTCAGATAGACCTGAGAAAAACAAGCTGTCAAAACAAAGTGACATTTTTACTGTGAACTGTTTGGACAACATTACTTTGAGAGGATGAGTGTAACAAGTACAGAGCAGGAGCTTATATGCTTACTTATCAGCTGAATTCTAGAGCTAATTAATTTGCATTGTCTGACTGCTGCTGTACTGAAGCAGTGCCACAAGAATGTGTTTGAACTCAACAGTCTATACTATTTTTTTTTGTTTGTGAACAATGATTATTTTAAGTAATTGATTTCATGGAAAGAAGGAGTGTATATGAAGGCAAACAGTACTGAACATTCCAGTGTCCAGGCCTGTTATGTTTTGCAATACGAACTGACATATTAGTACCTCTGCATTACAATTACGCAGCCTTTTGTAGGAAACTTTAGTGAACTGGGGGAGAAACTGGAGTCTTTCAGGCCACAGCGGAAGACAACCTGCTAGCATTTTGTCATACTAGTGTTATGAAAAGTCTCTACACCTTACTAGCCCATTGAGTTGCTACAATATACGCTAGGCTTTAAGCATTTGTGGTCAGAGAGGTTCAACATATTTCAATACTAACAGTCAAGATGATCTTACAACTAATATGTTCTGTTCAATTCAGTCAAACGAGAGAAAGTCTACACTTGACATAAAATGACACTGTGTGCTTTGTTGTTGGTTAAACAACATATAAGATGTTGGCTCCCTAGACCTCGGACCATTTCTTTGTACGTTAGAACAAGTGTGCCATTTTCCTGTAACTTAAGACCAGCTGTAGTTCCCTTCAGAACAGATAAAGTTAAAATCTGAGTTCAGACAGCAAGCCCCAGATGCACTAGGGCACCCTGAACTTTGGCCTTTCCTAGACACGCTTACTAGGGCTGCCACAGGTCAGCTGGAGTGCTGATTTAGGGTGTGGGCCTGGTGCTCCTGTCCGCTGCTCATTTCTCCTCATCTGTAGCCATGTAGCACAGACAAATCTGGTCTTTCCCAAGCAGAACCAGTGAGTCTCCACTGCCATGCCAGAACAGAGACTGCACCTGAAAATTACCTGTTAAACAGAGAAGGAGGGTAATAGCTCCAGCTTTTTGGGGAACCTTTTAGTTTATGTGAAGGATATTTGAGGCATATTTTGAACATCTGAATTCTGATATAATGACTAACACATTCATGGTGGTTTTGCCTTTTTTTAGCCTTTAACTGTGTCCCTTGTATAAAAGTGATGATTTAGCCAAAAATGAGATTTACACCCTAAATTTAGTCATTTTACCTTAAAATGCTGTCAACATGGTCTCAGAGGGTTTTTTTTTTGACCCTGTGCATGTGATAACGTGATATGTAAAAACATACAACACAGTCCAAAACCTCCCCACAAAATCCGACCCGACACTTTCGAGTTTTAAATTACTGTTTAAGGCTTTGTGTTCTTTTCTCTCAAAAAAAATTTGATTTACTGTTTCCAAAGGCGACAACAGTGAAAATGAGATTTTTGGCTAACCATCACTTTAAATTAGTAATCAATTGTGCTGCATGCAGTTCTCAGTAAAGTGTTACAGCCTGTTTTGGCTGTTTACCTTCCACCGGCACCTTCACGGACACGCAGCCGGCCAATGACCACAGGTAGACTTTGGCATTTCCGGTGCAAAGGGCCAGACGGGGTTTTCGGGGGTCCCAGGCGAAGCAGCGCACAGGGGCAGTCTGCTCCAGCACGGCCTGCAGGCCAAGTCGTTGCATGTCCCACACCCACAGGCTCTGCGGCATGTTGTCTGAGATGGGTTTGGCACAGCGTCAGTGAGGACAGCAGAAGCGCACACTCAGCCCCAGTGACAATCCTACTCATCTGAGTACTGCACTTATGATTAACACCCCCACAGCTAGTCAGCTCTGCTGAGCCAAAGAGGAAAACACACTTGTCGGGGAGTTTTGACAAGGAAGAATAAGCTCAGTGTTTCGAATAAAGGGGAATTACACAGCAGCTAAAACAGCATATGTCTCCAAATACCAGACTCTGTGGGCAGCCTGTAACTCTTCTCATGACTGGTGGAGGAGCCAAATGGGGCAAGGGGCACTGAGTACAAGCTATGTACAACTTGTACAGTAATTTTTTTTTACTTATTTATTTTTGCATTGCTTCTCTAAACAACCTGTAAAGTGTAACATTTCCAAAAAATACTGATTATAATATTATTACCATTCTTTGTGGCGAGGTAGCGACTGTCTGCGCTGAAAGCAACAGCAGAGATTCCAATTTTGGGGTTGGCACGGTCCAGATCAGGCTTTACCACTGTCACCTGGACTGGTAGTGAAGCAATTTCATCTGAAATAAGGCAATGAATCACTTAAATCAATCAAGTTGCAGAGAAAAGGATTTTCAGAAGTTTTTCAACAGTGTCATATTAGCACAATTTTATAGCAAAAAAAACAAACAAACAAAAAAATGTAACATTTAGTTACTCCAACTCAGATACTTTAAATATCTTGCTGTGTTCTAGTAAAGAGCTACTGGTTTTACGAGAGACTGTTCTTTTTTTAAAAAAATAATAACAAAAATAACATAACTGTGCTATATAAACTTCACTGTATATAGCAGCGAGTTTCAGATGAGTGTGGTATGTAAACCGTGATACTTAGAAATGCAGTGCACTTGCTGCCAGCAACGAGTCTTTGAATTAATGCCACTGAAAGCACAGAGGGAAAGTGTGACAGTCAGTGTGGGTGGTTTCATGTTTTTAAGAGCGGAGAGGAAGGCTTAGAGATGGGATCTCATGTCAAAACATGACACTAAGCACTATGTTTTTGTTGGTGAGATTTATACAGGGGCATTTGCAGACCTCAGTCAATGGTCTGCCTACAGAAATAGTTGCTGCGCGTCGGAATTCGTAATGGCCCTGTCACCATGCCTAGCCTCCTAGCCATGGTCTCCACTGAGACACCACCGTCTGCATAGCATGCAACATGAGCACACACGCTCACCCCACGTACAGGCTCATATGGACACCAATAGGGCTCAGCAGCACGACAGAGCTGAAGCCACAGCTTGCAAAAATAAAAACCAAGGCATAAGGTTACTTGGGGTGACATAATAGGTCAATATTATCTAATGACTCAATAATAAGAAGAACAACTTAAAATCTATTAATTTATCTGCCATTTTACTACCTCTAAACCTCTATCCTACTAAGGCTGCATCAATATGTTATCATATTAAAATATTCAGATACATGACTGTTGCTTGCTCCGCTCATGTTCTCTTATATTTGACCCACATATTTAGCTCTCTATGTTTTCCATTTCATGCAGTCTTTTATTATGGATCAGTCCCAAGGGCTTACATTTGCTCTGAGTGTTGAAGAGGGAGCTGCCCAGGGTGATCTGATGAATGGATAAATTTTCAGTACCAACGACAGGTCTTTTCTCCACCTCTTTAAACACCACCTAGTAACAACCAAAAAATAAATAAATAAATAATGATCAGGCTTTAGAAGGACTCATTCTCATTCAGTAACAAATGCTGAAAACATAAGGCTGTCCTGCCACTCATCCTTTTTGTATAGACAGAGATTCTATCTTGGCAATCCTGCTCCATAAACCACAACAAAAGCTGTAGAAAAGTGTTACAACAAGAAGGATAAGGAGTGACTTTTGAAGTGGTGATTAATATAAGGAGTAATTGCCTACAGCTTTGGAGCTGGTGATTGTAGCTGGATGTTCAAACTCGATGAGTTTCTTCCAGGTGATGTGGTTCAGAATCCGAACCTGGGGCAGCAAAATCATTAATTCAGAAACAAGAGCAGGTAAGTGTTCTTTAACCAACACAGCGAAATCTAAACATTTACCAAAGAACATGTAACTTGCTTGGTTAACCTTGCGAATTTACATGTTATCAAAATAAAAAAAAGGCCAACATGATATGCCAAACTTTGCAGCGGTAAAAACATGAGCATTTAGAACACTGAGGTTGAAAGCAGGTTGTAGCAGGTTATACCAGGTTATACCTTCTCATCATAGCTGCCGATGGCAAGGAACTGGCTACTGGGACTCCAGGCAACTGATTTGATACCCAGTGACCATTCGTAAGCACTGTAAGTAGACAACAGACGCCCATCCAGGGAATACAACAGGATCTTGTACTGCAGAAATGTACATTTGCATTTTAGTAAAATGCACAAACATGCAATTGAATACATGTATTTTTCCCAATGCTATGTCTTCACAACAGTTTCACTACTGTTTGTTTGGAATAGAAGAAAGCTCCAAACTTTGCGCAAGTACTAGGTACACAAATATACCTTTCATTCTTGGTCACCGCATGCACATTATTATGTGATACCATTATCAAGTGTCATGGATTTTCTAAAATATTGTGCATAGAAAATGTACGCTCACCTCAAGACACGAGTCCCACACTGCAAGCACACAGCCATTGGGAGACCACTCCACTCCAGCTAAGTCCTGTGTTTCTGTCTCAAAATGCTATGACAGAGTGCCCTTATAAGTACCAATCCTAATATTACAAATGAAAGTTAATCTCTGAATGAGTTCTTCTGAAGACTTAAACTACTGAACATGCTTAGCTAGCTGCATATAATCTTGCCCATCCAACAGAACCTTCACCCTCAAACATATCCAATACCTGATTATCTCTAGTAAATCACCATTTACAATCCTAAAGATCTACAATCTCAGCAAGGTGTGTGGGCTGTACTTTGTCAAGACAAAGAAAAATGCTCACCCTGAGAAGATGCCAGTCATCACACACAAATATGCTAATGTAATCTTTACAGTCTCGTCGCTCAGCTAAAGCCATGTAGCGCCCATCTGCGCTGAAGTCCATCCCTAAAACAGATAAGGCCATGAAAATATTAACACTAAAATATTTGGATGAAGAATGCAAACTTTCAACTTGTATTTGACATTTTCTGGATACATCTTTACCGCATAGGTCATGAGTGGATATGTTATGGGACCCCTTATCGATTTATCGATAATTATTGATAACGGCCATGATAACATCCACACATCCACAGCTTGAGGAGTTCCACAGACAAACAAGAGCTTCAGCTCTGTAGCTGCACTGTGTTTGTGTGTAGTAGTATTCAATGCTCTGCTTCACTTTAGAGCTCTGAGCATTGAGTGAACATACTGCAAGAGCAACCATGAGCTCAAAAGTGAAAATCTACAAGTGTTAATAACTTGTTCTTTTTCTTTTGGTCAATAAAACTTATAAAAAGGCGTTATGGCTTTGTCACCCCCTCTGACTGAAAAGGAAACTGTCCTAGATATACAGAATGTGACCAAAATACCCATAGTATTAAACAATGAAAAACATCTATATTCATTAACAACTTATAAAGTTACAGGCTTGAACAGCATGTTAGGATAATTTGCATTCATTTAAAAAGTACTCTCCTTGTTAAGAAAAATATTTTTAATTATATATTCTACTATATAATTTTTTTTTTTACATGTTTACCATTACATGTAGAACATTTAACTTGTTACTGTGGCACACAGTTCACAAGAATACGCCACCATTTTTCAGTATAACCTTTTAATCAGGTGATGCAAGTTACAGCCCGATCAATCTATGGTAGTGACAAATGTACCATCCAGACTAGGAGGAGTGTGTTCCATTGTATTAGCCCAGGGCCAAAACACTAAAGCTATCACAGTCCTTGTTCTGCACAGAGAGTGCAATGCCCAGAATGCATCACTGCCCCCTGATGTGGACAGACTGGTTATGATGACTATGTGACATTTACTGAACAGGGCACCCCAACTGTCAGCGAGTGCACATACTTGGCTGCAGGGCCAGGGCCAAGCCTAAGGTTATAGGTTAACCCACACTCTGATTCACGTATGGCCTGGTTTACCGTGACCCTGTCCAGAAGTCTTCCTCCAACCCCATGACATCGACACAGATGCACACACATGGTATTTCATCTCTGCTTTTACCCTGTGTACAACTCATGAATCACAATCAATCACTTACCTTTCTGGCAGGCCTTAGGGTACTTGATGTATGACACAGATTTGTTACAAAGAGACCACACAGTGATTCTCAGCTGCAAAGGTAAAGAGGCAAAAAGGAAAAAAAAGAATTAGGACTAAATTCTCTCACATAATTACTTTTACAATATTTTAAGTAAAAAAAGGATGAGGTTGACAGGACAAATGATTAATGCAACACTTTTTCAAACAATTAAATTTGGTGCTTCAGTCTTAAAATCTAAAATAACTTTGCATTAGAGACGCATGAGCGGAATCTGCAGATTTTTGTTCCAAATGCGCAATGGACAACCTGCCAACTTATTGTTTTTAAATCTATGTGCGTTACAATTTTATGATGTGAATAGCATGATCCAAGAAAGTGCACTCACACTATATTAGAATGCAGCTGCTGCTACAACTAAGTTTTTTTTTATTCATTTTATTTAAAAAAGGTTTCAAAGTTCCCAATTTTCCATTTAAGAATTTAAAATGCAGTTTGGTCTGTTACAATTATTATTTATGTTGCAACTTTGGCTAATTGTAATTAGTACTGGAAATGTGGTAGTGAGTGTTGAACCCACAAGGAGTGAGGCTAGAGCACCGAAATATAATCAAGCTACAGGTAATGCAGTAAAGACTGGTCTGTTTACTGCATAAAAGCAGTAGTGTATGACATACAAATGGAGCACCCGCATCTTGAAAGGTTTTTCTCAACTTGGATACTGTAAGACAAAGCCCAACTCTCTCTTATTGTTAATGTATGATGCGATTTAAACATCAACCAAAACCTAACGCTTAAATTCTTCACTTTTTCAGGATTGGTTTTTGCCAATAAGGCAGCGTCTGTCCTTCTTTCGATTTATCCAACTTCCCCTTGATAGACATGTTTGTAAAATCACAATCCAGCACTAATAACAAAAAAAAATAATAGAAATAACTGAATAAATAAAAACACACACACACACACACACACGGGTGAAAGACGAGATGTGTAAATTTGGCATCTGAGAGCCATTCATTTAACACAAAAAGCTGAAAATGTAGAAATGCATCCTAAAAATTTACATGAACACCCATGGCATAATTTTCTTTGTGTTTAAAACAATATATAGAATAATGGGCAACATACTGTGTCTAAAATATATATAAAATCTGAATACCTTTTGTCCAGACTCTTGCACATCATCAATGTCATTCAGTATAACGAAGGTCAAAAGTCATTTTAAAGCATATCACATGATGGTAATCATGCGACAGTAAGTGACATCACAAAGTAGACCCACTGAAGACCCTCTATCTATGTGATGAGTGCAGAAATCTTTCTGAAATATTTGATGATTTCACTTTTTCTCCCTCTAGCAACCTTTGTAAAAAAAATAAAAAAAACTCCTTCAGTCTAACACATAAAACATACTTTTAATGTTATAATTTTATAATATGTTTATGTCTGAAATCAGTCTGTCAGTATCATTGTTTTGTCCTTCAGCACAACAAAAGTTTCATGTTATACCACAATGTCACCCATTACTCTGAATGACAGTAGCTTTATTATGTGGAAATTGACTCCAGATATTCAGGTCCAGGTATACTAATAAATAGCATAACAGCTTCTTAAATAGACATACACAATGCAAATGCAATATGCTGACTATTCATAACTCAGTCAGTTAGCTGCTAATGAGGCTAAGGAGTGTTTGAGGAAACAAGTCTCATCAATCATCCAAGTGCTAATCTTACAATCTTAATCCTTCCTAATCCTTCCAAAAGCACCACACTGAGAAGTAGAGGCATCTAGCACTGAACTTGAGAAAAACCAGAAGGAATGAAATGATGAGTGGGTGAAATATGGAGAATCTATGGAATAATGCCAAAGAAATTCAGGCCAACGGCAAGGCTATACCTCCCTGAAGACAAGGCAATGAGCGGATACTGGTTACTAAACCCAATAAACAGATAAATGTTTATTTTAAGCCAACAAATATTAGAGTTCTAATAGGTGACTACAAGAAATGGCTGACTGACATATACAGCATGCATTGTCTATTTAAGCATGTGATGCTAGGCTAAGCCTCAAGTGTTATGCCTACTTAAAATCAGAATAAAGAAATAAAAAATGGCCACTACAGGATTAGATAGGACATGTATAATCTCAATTATTTCTGCAATTTTCATACTGATATATTCATGAGAGTGAGTGCTGGAGAAAGACCAAAACGCCAAGGACACAGGAAAGATGATGGACAGGGCACTTGACAAAAGACAGTCAAGTGTTAGTGTCACTTTACTTTAAAGAGCTTTATACCATGTTTAAGACATGGCACCCTGCCAAAGGATGGGCACACGGGTACAGAATGTTCGAAAATAACATGTAACATCTTGTCCTTGAACACAGACACTCAGTCTACCAGATGCTACAATTAATGGGGGTCAGCAATATAAGTGTGGAGACATGAAAGGGTCCACTTGGGTCTGTGCTGAAGCTTTAGCCAAGAAGAAAATATAAATCAGTCTGTGAAAACGTGATGATTGAACTACGTGTTAAAGCCAGAATCTATTAGAATGTGCTGTCATTCTCACTTAATGCTGATATCATCAATTGCCATATGGCTGAAGTCTGTTCCTAAAATCTACAACATAAACCACATTGATGCTGGAAATTACTGAACCACCACAGCTATCACACTTGTAGCTTGTAGCACATGGTAGCACCATGTGATAAAGCGCAATTAGACACATATATTTTTGTTCATATGGGCACAAATAATGTAAATGTACCCTCAAAGGAACAACAATGGTCTAAAGGTCCAACTATGTACCTTAAAACATTTTTTTCTCAGGGGAATTGTACATAAATGTACCTTTCATAATCTAACATTTTAAAACAGAAAAACAAAATAGAGTTCCATCCAAATTCTGATGCGTAATGTATCTGTGGGTTTCTTCACTGCTTCTGGTTCAGGTTAAGCCGGGCACAACTACTATATAGGCACTTAATCACAATAAGTGCTGATTAAAATTATTTAAGCTTTTTTGTCGCAACTGTTAGCTTTCACTATCATATGTCACAACAAACAATGTTAAGTGTTTTCTGAGTTTAGACAAATATAGAAGAAAGCAGGAAACATCATGGATCTTACGGCAACAATAAAAGATAAGTTCTGACTGGTGTTCTTACAATTAAAAGAGGGCAGCAGTGAGTAATATTGGTTTATTTGAGCTGGAGCTACGTCTGTCGTCAGTTGGGAGATACGAAGTATTGACTGCTATGAAGCAAGACCAGCCAATGTGGCCACTTCCGGCCAGCACTGTAAAGGTTGCACAGAACTAGGTACAAAGAAATCCCTCCTGATTGATATATAGATATACATACCTGCGTGGCTCAACTTTGCATTTTGTGCAAATTGCATTTAATTTTAAACAGGTGTTTTGCCTGATGGGCATTTGTGATGTGTGGACAATTTCCTCTAGTCACTTTGAGCAGAATCCATTTAGAACATCTACGTGGCACAACAACTAACAAGATACATTACTGCTGTGCTGTTGGGTTGAGCATGGATCTGTTTTAATTAATCCATACAATCAGTATAAATGTGTCCCACCTCAAGTACAAGCAGAGTGCCAATTGCAAGGCTCTTAAGCGCCTGTTTACAGCTCAGTAAGCCAATCTAATGTGCGTGCATCTCTTCGATGTTCACTGCCTCTGATCGTGCTGCGCATCAGAGCTCTGAAATACTAAACTCGTCTTGTCCGTTAGCCAAGATCTTCACGCTGCTTTGTAAAAGTAATATGGGCTAGCAGAAGTGACAAAGTCTTAAACCTGACATGCGAATGGTCACTGAGATTCTGGGCCACTTGGAAGGCTTGCTTCCGTGACTAGGGTAATAGTGTCCATGAGCATGAGGATGATATTTTATCTCAAAGACACCTGCACCACCACATTCATAATGAACCTCAAATTTAAATCACACAAAACCTCAAATTTAAAAAACATCAATCATACAAAACCATCTATATATAGGAGCAGGCCTAAAAATCCTACAATAAGAGGTATTATATTATCTATGCTCCCCTGCTGTTCTACACTGAACTCAAGGCTAGAGGGATACCTGATGTGCATCAGCTGCCCTCTCTCCTGTGGCTATCTGTCTTCACCCCTGGAAAGATTGAGCTAAGCTCTACAGCTGTGCTACATGAATATCCCTAAACATCGCCTCTCTCCATCTCAGTTCTATGGAAACTAGCATCAAAACAGGGCCAAAACATCAAGAGATGGCCCCTCTCACCATGTCTGGCTGGACAGAGCTGGGAAAGAGAGAGAGAGAGGCTTAGCAAATCTGAAATCTAAGACTTCGAGGACAGTGGGGAAGTAGGTGGGAGATGTTTCTCCGTGTTGCCATGCATGCTAGTGGTCTGAGAAAGCTGGTGAGGCTAACGCGTTCATAGATTCAGTGTGCCAGCTAAGGCAGACACGCGTCACCACCAGGTCTGGAACCACAGAGGAACATTCAGCACCATGACAGCTGCAGCCCCCTGCACTGCTGTATGAAAACAACACTCCAATGCCAACGACAGTAGAGATAGCATGATACCCCTTCCTTTTCCAATGCCAATACTAATCAGATTTTTGGCCATTTTAAATTGAAGCACCTCACTTAAGATGACCACCTACAGCTCATGCTTAAAACAACCCACTCTGCTTCAGGAAGAAATACGTAACCAACAACATTTACATTTTTTTTAATTCAAAAGATTATAAAAAGATATAAAGGAAACAGTACTCCTAACATCTGCATGACCTGGCAGAACACTAAAACTGGTTCAAATTAGGCCTACAACAACTATTACATAATCCCCTGAATCACCATTATAGGAGCTGATCAAAATTATTTAAGATAAACAGTACTTAAAGCTTTTCTGTGTTTCTGTGCATTCTTTCTCTGTGAGAAGACATCAATACTATGGGGCTGAAAGGATGCGCAGCTGTGCAAGAAGCCGTTGCGAGGAAAAGCAAATAGACAAAAAAAGAAGAAATTTCTTAAATCAAACAAAGAAGCTGGTGTTTTCAGTTCTGCGAACACCAGTAACCTCAACATCATTGAACATGTTTTGTATTACTTGGATCGTGAGAAACAGAAAATGCAACCAACTTCTAAAACTGAACTTTGGAGGAGTGAAAAAAATCTCCTTGCAGATTTCTTCTGAAAACTAAAAGCAGGTATTCCAAAAAGAATCAAAGCTGTAATATAGGTAAAGGTGAACACACTAAATATTATAAAATTAATATTACATTGAACTGTTGAGACATCTGTACACACACGTGTGCGTGTGTGTGTTGTATATATATATATATATATATATATATACACACATGCTTTAGGTTTTGTAAAACAATTCCACTGTATTTCAGCTGCAAAACCAGATTGGATTCATTCTTTTCCGATATCTGATCCAGCATTTTCTGTTGGTTTTGATATAATAATGATACCTGGTATCACATTTGTGCCATCTACAAGACAATCAAAACAACAAAAAAAGTAATCGACCCAAAAAAAAATAAAAAATAAAAAATATACAGTGCACCTAAAACAGAGAGATATGATAACGTGCCCAATGCATGGACCACACAGCACAAGGTACATAGTAAGATTTATGGTATACACTGTGGAATCTAATGAATCAATATGATTCACATATGGAAAACCCCTTTTGTATGTGAGAAGCTTGAGTGACATTTCCAAGAATCTTTACATAGATCTGTCTGTCAGCAGAGGATTAGGTCAGAGCATTCCACATCAGAAAACATTTTTAAAACGATACAGGCCCAATTCTCCTATTACAGACTTGATTCTCGCCTGTATCTGATACAGCCAGCCAGACGTACTGAGAGGGTGGGAGATATCACCCCGCACCATCGTTAAACAGCTCAGGCTGCTTACACTCACAGATTTCTAACAGCTCACAGTCAAAATGCTAAGCATTAGCCGCAGCCCAAAGGTCCCAGGCAGGCGCGCATTGTTGGTTAGATCCCAAACAATGTTGGCTCATTTGAATGGTATACTGTTCACCACTGCCCTTGAGTTTCTTCTTTCTCAAGACTCATATCACCACTCACCACACACGCAGATTACTTTTAACACCTGGAACAAAGTGCTAGCTTGCTTGTAATCCCTCAAACTCAGATGGAACTGCACCATTTTTTTATTCAGAAAAAACAGCAGGCTTACGTTCATGGAAGTTTGGCTTGCAAAAGACTTCTTGATGGATGTTCTTTGCACATCAACATAATAGATCAGCGAAAATCAAAGAAGCAAAAAGGGTGTAAAAAAAAAATGACAGAGGCACTAAAATGAGAATTCTGGGCTTATACCAGTATACACGATATTTTCATTTACACATCTGCCAATACCGAGGCAAACATATGCATGTAACATTTAAAAAATATAGAAATTGTAAATACATCAATTTGCATAAGAATTACAGAGAAATACAACATGTATTTCTATATAGTTAAGATATTTCAGCATGGTACCCCAGTATCACTTCAACATGTGCGTCTGGAGTACAATAAATATGTCATCAAGTACTGGTCAAATCTAAACATCTGTCCAACAACGATTTTTTAAGCAATTATCTGACAATACCAATAAGATTCTGATATTGTGCATCTACACTAAAACTGTATAGAATTTTCACTAGAAAAACTACAGTCCAGTGGCTCTGGTCATCCATTTTTTCATATTCTGAAGTCAAGAATATCCGCATGGTTTAAAATTACCTATAACTTTTAATCCGGGCATTTGCAATGCATGCACCACCATTAACGCAGCATCCATTTAGCACTAAGTCTACAGGCTGCTTCATAAGATCATTTCCACTTTACAAACAGTACCATTCGCACAGCATCACTCTGCACTTTATAACTTGGACGCTCTACACACATTTAACATATAAAATGGAGACATTTCACTCCTCAAACTATTGGCAACACTGTAGGCCCTCAACTGAAGAGGTACCCCAACCCAGAACAGGGATGACAAACTGCAGTCTTGGGGGGTCCAGTGTCCAGCACAATTTGGTGATTTTCCTGCTCTTAACACTCCTACTAAACCTGGCAGTTAGCCGCTGACTTGAATCAGTGTGTTGGAATCAGTGAGTAGAAAATTACTGTCATATTAAAGTGATGTATTTGCCTTAAACTACAAGTCTAAAAAGCAATAAATGACTTCACTTGGGAAATACAGTTGTATGCAAAAGTCTGAACATTTCCAATTAAATTATACATTTTGTTGATTTTCAAAGCAAAAATAAGTTAAAACATGCTCAATAGGACAGAAATTTCAAATATATTATTTTTCAGCAGAATTAATTTTCTGAATTTGTTTGGAAAAAATAAAATATAAAAATGTGCCCTAACTTTTTTGCATTGACCACATTTTTTTTTCCCTCCAATTTGTTAAATTCAACAAATAAACAATAACTGCGCACAAAAGTATGTTTTCTGTAAAGGATGTTAACTGGTTTTCACTTAGCAAAACATGAAATTTGGCCAAGTATTGCCCAAACTTACAACTGTACTCTTTGCATAATTTCTCTGAAGACTACATTTCAAGCAGCTGACTGCCACATACATAACAGACCACAGATCATTAGAGATAGCTGCTTCTGTTAATCCAGCCTCCTACGAGTGAACACAAAAGATTATTATAAATCCAACCACTCATATGCTCCAGTGAGCTGTGATGAAACACATTATGGCAATGTATCCCCATCAGCATGTGGATAAACTGTTCAAGAGAGGGCAGAGAAAACACACTGGTCGTAATAACACCAGGCAGCTGTTCCTAAACAAGTTAATTTAGCATCCTGTTTATGAGTATCGTGAAACTGAAGCAGCGACACGTACACCACTTTGGCAAAACCTTAATGAATTTTTGTCTGGGGTGAAGATGATGTCAGCTGGGGCTGGGCACTGAACTCTTAACCTCTCCTCTACAGGGAAACAGGGGAGTTTCCTTAACAAGTCCCCTGTTAATCAAACCTGGATGTCACAGAGATTGGCATCCTTCAACAAACCAATTACTAATACTGCATTACATTAATCTGCAAAATCAGTACTGATGATTAAGGCTGACCACATATTGTGATTATGTTCCTACAAACTGTGACTTCATTACAGCTGGCGATCCACTAAGTATCACAAAATATTGACATGAATCATCAGATGTTGGTGATGATTCCCAAAAAACACAATCAATAACTAAATAAATAAAGATTTGTTAGAGGGCTCTTTTTCATTTTCCAGTCTTCTGCGATATCCACATTTTTTGCAAAGACCAAAGACCAATACTGCAGTAACGACTACTATGCAATACAATGTGCAGCCCTACTAATATTATCATCTTCTGAAACAAACCTATATCCTTACAATTTATCAAGCAGTAGCTTCAAACGGAAGAGGAAGGACAAAGTCTGCATTTGATTGCTACTGAGTGGGAGAAGAGTCAGACACAAAGTGCAAATGCCACAGGCTCACAGACACGCTGCTCTCCACGTCCCCCCGCCTTCATTCCCAGACACAGCTGCTCACTGTCTCAGCACCTGTCAGTGATTCTCGGAGTCAAGTTCAGGCAGCAGGCAACTACTGCTGGCACTTGGCCCAAGTGTAATCCAAATAGGCAAAGACGTAGAATGGAGAAAAAGAGATGGAGATGAAGCGAGAGCTTTTTCTCTTTCACGGTCAGGTCAGAAAACCTCTGGACGGGGGATACATGTACTACAATTAACCTTTTGTGAATTCAAGGCTAAAGCAGAAACCCAACCACTCAACGAAACACTAAGAGAACAATGGTTAACTCACAGAAACGTTTGAGGACATAACTAATTTAAATTGTAATCAAGAGTGGCGATATCAATCTCTCACGCTGTAATAATTTGTGTTTTATGTTAAATTTAAGGCAATAATACAAATTTTGAATTTTAACACACAACATCTAAACACGTGAACATGAATATTTATTTTTCACTTTTACCTCCTTTTTTTTTTTTAATTCCCATGACCAATTGCTATACTGACTCATTTGCAATGTAAACTGCTGCCTTGTGTCCTCATTTTGTGTCAATGCTTGTTTTGATACTCTTTTTTCCCTCTGGCTTCATACTTGTTAGAACATTAGTTTGTGTGTATGTAAACTGTCCTTTGCTTACATCAACTGTTTTTGGCTTCTAACATCAAGGAGTGAGTTGATTTATGTGCACTGTCCGAAAATATGAAATACAAACAAACTGAACTATAAAACATACAAAAAATAAACATACAAACAAACCAACAAAATGAATAACTGGTATGCGACTGTTTTTTTTTCCTTGACTGGTTCAGCTCAGGCCTGCTTTCCAGCTTTTTTCCAAGAAACCTGTACAGCGTCCAAACACCATCTAGGATAAGACGTAAGAAACTCTCTAAAATTATATCTCAAATGCATTTTCCATTTATTTACTTGATTTTACAATGTCATGCTCCAATAAACAATAGCCAGGATGTGGACATACTTCAGGGCTCTATGTCCTATGACAGGTTATTTGAGGGTTTAAGCTAGCCCTGGTCTACCCGACTGCCTGCTATTTTCAGGTCTTTAGTTACGGGCAGCAACAGTTGACATGGTGCAGGATGGACTCCTCCTGACTTCACACTTACATGGAACTCAGTGGTGTTGAGAATGTGACGTCCGTCTGGACTCCAGCGTGAGGAGACTAGTCCGATCGAGCCCTCATCTATCTTACAGTGCCATTCTGGCTGCTCCAGAGACCACACCTGCAAAAGAGAGAGAGAAAAACGTGCCCATGCACACAGACACACACACACAAACAAACACATAATCACCAGCAAGAAACAGTCTGTTCACAGGTTCCACTCCACCTACCCCCTTCTGTCTGAAGCAAAATGAAAGACTGGCGCTGGCTACCTCTACAAAGGTAAGATTATTCTTATTTGTTTGGAAATTATATGGGCTGGGTTTGATTTTTTTGCTGATATTACAAATATGTGAGCTTCCAGAGTTACTGGAGGCAACTTGAACCAACCAGACGGGACTTAATGTTTGAAATTTATTTAGTGCAATAAATACTGTTTAGTCAACAAACTGGTTGTCAGTGAACTGACTGCATCCAGATTATATGCTGATTTTCATCGAAAGCATGGATCTGAGTACCTGTACAAGCCCTCTTTTGTACATAGCGCAGAGGATAAAGAGTGAGTCTGAAGACCACTCCATGTGGGCCACCTGGTCCAGACAGGTATACAGCTGCAAGATCTGCAGTGTGTTGACATCACGCACCACAAGGCGATATTGAACACAGGTGGCCTACAAAAGAAAGTGAAATGGAGGGTTTAGTTACAGAGAGAACTACCTCAGAGGTCTTATCTAAATTGCTAACTTTTTGTGCACAGTGATATTACAGCGCTGTTGAATATGACACAATTGTCCCACTCAAGGCCACTGTATATGCTAAAGACTGTAAACTTTGTGTAGGGTTGTCATTTGTGTATAGCTTTCCTTGGTTCATTGGGCTGTTTATATAACTTACATCAAATACTGAAATTTCATACCAAATACTTTCCATCCGGAGAGACTTTGCACAGCTGGTTGGACTGCTTGAAGACTTCAGAGAAATTCATGCCAGAGCACTGTCAATCTTTGGGGTCGCCCGTTGCTGTGATTCACAAAAAAACTGCAGTTAGCTTTATTACACTGGACTTAGGTCCATCACCCAAGTGCCTGACTACAAAAGGTATTAAAATATGTTAGTGTTGCCTAGACACCAGAAAACTGGTCAAACACATGATGGCGCCACCTTAACTTCACCGAGGTACACAGTGGCTTCCTAATATACCCTAAAGGCAGCATTTCGAACTCCAAATCCTAAATAACTCCGCTTGCTCTGGCAACTAGTTAATTCAGCTCATGAATAACTTCATAAACACCTGGCGAGGTACCAGCTAGCGTTAGCGTTAGAGTCACACGACCGTTAAAGATCCCCGTTTTTTGTACGACGTTTATCCGAAAGTGTAATGTTATGCAAAGCGTTTAAAGCGTTTTGCCAAAAAATCTATGCTTTTATTTTTAAAATAAAAGAGTAGCGTTAGCTCACTAGAAAGCGACTATATTTCTGTTTCTGACAGAAAGCTGCCACATAGTTAGCTAGGTTAGCTAGCTGGCTAACGTGATAGCTCATTCAGAGATGCTCACCTACCAACAGAAGTGGCCAGCAGTTAACGCTAACGTTTCATGTAACTTATTTTGAAACGATAGCACTTAAACTCTTTATCTAATTATAAACTTACAATTTTATGTTTTATTCTGTTACTCACATCTCTCACATTCAAGTTTTAGCTTCTTATTTTAGCTTGCCAGAGAAAAAAGACACAAAAAACACCAGCTCTTCAACTGGATTTAAGAAGCTTCACTGCAGTTCTGTTTTCTGTTCTGTTCTTTTTTTACACTTAACTACTCAATTTGGTGTTGTTTTGGTAGCAGTCTAGCGTTACCCGAGTCATTATTTCACTTAAGTAGCTACTAAGCCTGTTGCTTAAATGCAGACAGTGGCCAACTCCTTAACGTTAGCTACTAACCTAACTAAGCTTCACTCATACAAAGATGTTAAGCTGGCTAACATTAGTCAATAGACTTGCCGTTTAAGATCATGTTCTTTACCTGTAAATGACTCGTTTCGTTAATATTCTGCATAATGTTACCTTACTAAATTGTAATATCTGTTTCCGCGTCGGTTACAGGTCGGAAAGGTTTACTTCTCCGACTTAAATTTTACTCCTGAGATCCCATCTGTCTCCACCTGACGGTTGTTGCCTTTCTTCTCCGGATTGTCTGTTGTTTCGGAAGCGCCGTGTGTGAAACGTCATAGAGTTTTGTCGGCTACAGCCAATCAGGGCTGTCCGTGTGCTATCTGGGAATTGTAGTTTTAATATCTTCTTTGCGCGCGAATGAGAGTTTTAACTTTGTATTTGCAGTTAATGTTGGCCTTTTTAAACATTTTTATCGTCTTCTTGTATTTGCTAACCTCATAGCACAACATGATTAAAATTATTGCGTAATTTGATCAAATGCAACGCAACACAAAAATAAATTAACTATCAAAATAGCCTTGTTCTGTACAATACTGTGCGATCACATATATTGTGCGATTTATAGTTTTACACGAGAATAGTAACGTTATTCAAGGTAAATCTGTGTGTTTCTCAGCCGCTTTGGGAGCTTGCGAGGCTGTTAGATGAGGCTGTGTGGTCCCCTGGTGAGAGAGTCGTGTTTCCCGCTCGTGTGAGCCCAAACGGCGGCTAACGCCTCCTCCTGTCCCCCTTATCTCCCCCTACCCAACCCATCCCAGCACACAGGAAAAAACTATTTACCCTAACCTGCATAATCAGCTCATACGGACACCTTCCACATCTTTTGTTTCATTTGACCCTCTGTGTACAGAGTCGACCATAGACCCATTAAATCCTGTGAGGTGTGTTTTATTGACGTCTTACTCCACAAGTAGACTGAGCCATTTCCTCCACGCTAAAGAGTTGTGAGGGTCAGTTCCATGTCAAGGAAAATGATTTTGGCACTCAAGAAATTCTAGGCTGCTGTGGATATTTCAAGACTGGAGCATACATTTCATTTTTTATAGGTAAGTGGGCATAAATAGCTGTTTGTGCGGCTGTGGTTGCATTATTAGTTGCATTATTAGCCTAAATGAACCTTCTGTTCATTACCAGTGTGGATGATTAAGCATTCGCTCAGTTATTTACGCCTTTCAGACTTTAATGTTATAATTTCTCAATTTCGTAAGATTATTTTAGTTTTAGTACGATAATGTCTGACAGGCTGCTACAGACTGAAACACTGTGCGCGCAGGGACGATTTAAAACAATGATAATAATTTAAAATAATAAAAAAAAATAGGCTGGACGGGAATATTTATTGTGTGATAGCTGGTTTGACTGGCCCTACTGCAATCATTCTCGGTATTAAAGCTCCTAAATTTCTCATTGATTTGGCTGCTGCGTATTAAATTTTTGTTGTTTCTGTTAAGCAGGCTTCACTGCCAACTACTTGAACGCCGAAATAATTTGCGTTATAGATTTTTGTGTGTGTGTTTGTTGCTTAGAGAGTCGATAACAGTGTCTGAAAATGTGATCAGAGCGGTCAGAGTTCAGTTTTGACCACTTGCTCTCAGTGAGTACAGTAACATGGAGGAAAAATAGCCATTCGGAGTCCAGAGCAAAGATATAGAAGGTCAGATATTTCTAATGGTAGTATATTGCCTATAATAATGTACATTTAAATATGCCACATAAATACAATGTCGTTGTCGTTATTATTATTATTATTATTACGATTTTTATTTTATAATAATAGTGACTGTGACTATTATTATTATTCTTATTATATATTTAAATGTAAATTGTAACATTTTAATAACACAGATAACAATGCAGATGATAATAAATATATGTATAGTAATAATGTGGATATTATACGATCCGAATTTCTCTGCCATAATCACACTGTGCAATTATTGTATTTTTAAGGTCTCATTTTTCAAAAGGCCGAAAGTAGACTTAAAAACGTGCTCCAGTCTCCTGAAATATGGTCTCCTTAAGGTTTATAAGCAGGTTTGAGTGTCGCAGATCCCTTCAGCTTTATTCTCCCAGAAGCTGAGTGTGAGAGGTGGCGAGTGTGTACTGTATATAACTGGTTGTCAAGGCTGCTTTAACTAACTTGAGCGCAGGACAGTGTTAAGCTGTGGACATTGGCAGTCTCACTTATTTATGGCACATATGGACAACCATAGCTTAGATCACTATCTGAGTCCAGCTTCTGGGCATTTGCGATGAAAGGTAAATGTTTTTCTTTTCATGCAGCACTGTGCTTGAATTGCTCCTGTAATTTTAAGTCTGTGTTAAGTGTTGCGTTAAACCTATAGGTTACCATGTGAATGGATGTGTCTCCCTGTATGGAGAGTGATAATTCAATTCTCCGTGCTGCTCCCACTTGTCTGAGTGTAATTGCTGGAGAACAAGCACTAGTGTCTCAGGACGACAGTCATCATGGGAATAAATCCCTCATTTAGCACAGCATACACCTTACTCAGAAAAGAGCGTTCACATCAAACTCCTGCTCACTTCAGCAGCCTCTATTTTCTCTCTCACGCCTTTGGGAGCTGTTTTAAGTCTACACAGAGAACTGTCAGCGTTATTCAGGGCTTTCTGACATTTCAGTCAGAGGTTTTGTGAAGTCGAGAGGTTTTGGAAAATATTTTTGAACATTTGTTTTGAAATGGAAGCTTTGGTCAGCTTGACTAGCTTTTCATCGAAAGTAAAAAAGGGGGTATTCTTGTTTTGATTACTTAGTGTGTGTGTGTGTGTGTGTGTGTGAATGTCGCACTTTCTCTTTCGGCGCTCCGCTGGCGTTTGTCGTTGCCGAGACAACAGGACGCGCGCGCTGCGCTCCAGCAAACGCGCCTTCTGACGAAGTGACGTCATACACAATAGCAGGGTGTTTGTGGAGAAAAAATTCATCTGCATGTGTGAGTGAGTGGTGCAACGGTTTATCACTTCATCTCCAACTATCTGCAATCTGTAGAGTTACAATCTCTCAAACAATCTCTCAGAGTTACAATCTCTCAAACTCAAAAAAAGTGATGATACGACGTAAGCCACTTACACTGTAATCCAGACCTGTGTTTCTCCTGAATATTCTTTGCCCTCACAAACATTAAGCAAATACAAACTTATTTCTGATCCAGATTCTGCTTCAGAAACTTATTTTTTAAAATAAATAAACTTTATTTACCCGAATCTATCAAAGAAAAAAAAACTTTTTTAGTTTTTTTTTTAAATAGAACATTTTTATGTTCTACATTCAAGCTGGGCAGAAAATTTGCATGTAATTAAATGATTTAACTTTTGTTGTTTTAACTTTTGGCCCTTTTTATTTGTTTGTTGATTTTATTTTTGAGTATGGTCCATGTGTAGACTGGTGTAACCTGCAATTCCAGTGAATCGCAGATGTTGGCTTCTATGGGTTTGCTAAAGTTGCTCCACTGTGTTCAGTTTCACTGTTCTTTTATAAGATCATGACCAGAGGCAGACCACTGAAGGAGGCGCTTTCTGTTAGAGACCTTTTTCTGCAATTGACTTGGTCTCTTTTGAGTAGAAGATGATGCCTTTCCATTGTTTACTGGGGAGAAGAAGGAAGGAAGTCCAGCCTGTACCACGTGGCACACGGTCCCACTGGGACGGTGCCAGGCAGGTTCAGGCCTGCCAAGCCCGGCACCTTGATTCTGAATCTGCACACCCAGCCCAAAAGCCTGCTGGGATTTAGACTAGAGAAGCAGCATTGGGAGGCAGGGTGGAAATTACTTTCAAATGAAATCTTCAGTGTGTTAAGCACTCTCTGGTACCATTCAATTCAAATATTGGCTCTTATTCACAGGGTATAATAGACCGGCTTTCAAAATAGTTGAGCATACACAGGAACATTTGAAGTAAACCATGCTTACTGAGACGTGGGAATCCCAAGTTGTTGTAATAGCTATCACCTCATTATTCCCTTTTGATCATTACTATGTTTTAAGGGATTATTCAGTCAACACTGTGACAATGTCTGATATGTCCAGGTATTATCTGGGCATTATAACGATTTTTACATTTGGCTTTTTATGGTCAGCAATAAAGAGGATGTTTCTTGTTCACTCTTCAGAGTAATTTACCCCCCGGTGGAGCACCCCCTGTCCAAGATGTCCCAATCCTCCACCAGTGACGAGGGTACGACCTTTGAGCACCTGTGGAGCAGTCTGTGAGTTTCTTACCTAGTCTCACATCTATTTGATGGTCATAGTAAAATTACCTAGACAGCAAAGTAATGACAGAAAAGTTATGTTGGATTTTTAAAAAATAAAATCTATATGATGTCTTCAGGTAGACTGTTACATTTATTCTTGAGATATTCATCTATTCAGATTCTTCAATGACCACACAGCCAAGCTGGTGGAATTCATTTTCGGTACAGCTCTTATCAAGTATACTTCCAACACAGAACATCAACACATTAAATTCAATACAAAACAGAGCGGCTTCACTATACGCATTACTTACATAACAGCCAGAGTAAGTACTGAGTAAGTACAATAAAATGACAATGGCAACAACAGGAGAAATCAGCACACATGGCCCTTGACTGCTTATAGAAATCCTTGCCAGTAATTCACTGAGCATCTATTGTTGCTTATTAGGGAACCGGACAGCACGTATTTCGAGCTTCCTCAGACCAGTCATCCAGGGGACAGGGGGCCGTCCAGCAGCCTGCCAAATAACCGGGCTGAAGTGTGCATGGACGTCTACCAAATGAGAGACCTGAATGACAACGTCATGGTAAGAAAAAACTGGAGTCTTATCAGTTAGGTGGCTTCCAAGTCCACTTGTCATCAACCCTGATATGTTAATGAGAAATGTGGGTTTGGTTTAGATTGGTAGACATGGTTTCATAGTACTGGTAAAGGTGTGAATCTGTGGCTTAGATGAGAATCCAATGACAAAGGCAACTAATTTGAATAATATGATTTTGTAAACTATAGTTTGGCTCAGTTACATGATCAGCAACATTGGTCTATGATCTAGGTAACTGAAATCAAGATCTGATGCTTTTGTGAATCTGGGATTAACAGGTAGTGCTGGATTAGACATGCCTCACAGCTCAGTCTTACCTAGCTTCCAAAAACTGCATGTTCATGTTCTTCACATATGCCAATTCATGATGGATAAATGGACAGTCTTAGCCACTTTTGCAACTAGGGGTTGATGGAGTTAAACTGGCAAGAATTTCACTTGATTCAGTGACCACATCTTTAATAATCATTATAATGTCAGATAATATACAATATGTGAGAGATGATTCAGTTTATTGCATATAAATAAACCAAAATGTGTCTTCTAGTCTAGTTAAACGTTGTGCAGTATAAATCAATCAATCAATCAATCAATCAAATAATAAACCAGATGTTATTTGTATATTTTTAAAGTATACGTCAAGCTTCTAGTATATGCTGGCTCAAGGCTCATATACCCTTATAACCAAGAGCTGGGAAAACAGTCTGCAAAGGCCCATTTGTTTAGGGTAAACAGCTAACATATATAAAATACAGAATATATTCTATTCCATATATTTGGCTCCAAGCAGAGTGTCTGAGCCTCAGTGAATTCATTTTTAAATTCTTATTGGAACCAATTTTTCAGACGGTCTGTTGTCTTAATGGTTTCACATAGCATCTTTGTTTCACTGGCTGTCCCAAGCCAGGCTGATTTTCCCTCCGTATGGGTGAAGATTCCCTCCTCACTGCCTGGTTTCCCTCTCCTCCACTTGGTTTTCCCTCTCCTCAGGCCCCACAGCAGGCCAGGCTGTGGTCTGGGATTTAAACAGGGAGGTTATAATGGCTTAATTAGAGGGAAAAGCCAAGCCAGGAATATGACACCTGCTGCTCCCTTCCATCTGGGGCACACGTGCTAGGAGAGAAGGGGTTGGGAGGGTGTTATGTAGATGGATGGATGCCTTAGAGGGCCCAGCTGTTTTGCATTTTGTGTATTGTTCCATGAGGTATTGTATAGGCCCAATTTTCTGTTAATCTGTTGTACTATCCAAATTAGCCTTTTGGAATGCCACATGGTTCAAATGTGGGTCCAATCAAATTCTTTGACTACTCAAATACATGGTCCAACATTACTGCCACATGATTTCAGGATTATCTTGCAGAGTCAAACATTTTTGCTTTTAGCACTGCTACTTATATGTGAATGTCTGTGGCATGAATACACAGCAGTACAGATTTTAGTTTATAGTTTAGATTGTACTTTTGATTGACTGTTGAATTCCATTTTTTGATGAAACTGTACTACATCAAGAAGTCCTTGTGGACTTGAAGATGGCTGTATGCAAAGATTAGATGCAGCAAGGTTGTGCAAAATTTCATTGTCTTATTGATTGTAGGGTGTATGTTTTTTCCATTTGGATCTACACAGAGGTTACTGTCTAGGTTTAGACCCACAGTATTTTGCAAGAATAAATTGCTTTTGTGCTTTTATGAGGGCTTGTCATTTCAGTAACTAGTTATGCGCTTGCATACAATGATATGGAAATACATACTTGGCGGGGGCTGAAAACTATTTTTTGATGTTCTTTATGTGAGCCATGCCATAGTTCAGTTCTGGTCAAAAACACTCAATTTGCTTGTAGATAAGTGCTATTGTACCTGTCCCCTTCCAACTAAATTGGTATCGTCCAATCCATCGGTGGGCAAGTTCAGGCCTGCCCTTTTCGTTAATAAATAGTCATGAGGCCATAAAGTGGGAGGTCCAAGATTTGTTGTTAGCTGCTGCTAGAAGTTGACAGGGCCGGGACAGGAATATAGGAAATATCCTCTCACTGTCATATAACAGTCAACCCTGTTCAGAGCCACTGTGCTCAGCAAGCATTAGCTGAGGGAAGCCGAAGGCAGAGGGGTCCAGGTTTTGGTCTTGCAACACTCACCTGTACGCCCTGCATGGTCACATGACCAACCAGGTGGGAGAGTGTCTCTTGTCAGCTGCCCGCCCTGCGGGATCGCTACAATGCTGTGCATCGGTGACCCAACTCATCATTACAGCACGGTAGGTGAGCTTTTTCCTAGGAAAGGAGAATATTATTCTGGTTCAGTTTATTCAACACAGAAGCTAACAAGCAATGTTAATCCAGCCGAAGTCATTGCAGTACTAAACTAAAATAGAGAGATAGATGTGATTATCTGTTATCCTGACAAATTAACTTTTTTAGTATATATAAGTTTTTATATATTGTAAGTAGGTAATTTGCTGCAAATTGTATTAATGATATTTCTAGGCATGGCTTATGCGGCAGTAGTTGGTTTGTGTTGGGAAGCGTTGCAAGTTTTAAGTTAAGCTGTCACTGGAGAACTAACCTAAGATCTTACTTCAGTGGTGCAGTTAAATGAAGATTAACAAAACTAAGTAACTAAAGATGTCTTTTGATGAGCACTCTGTGGCGCATCACTCCAATTGATACCTGTTGATGCATCTGCATGGAGTTGTCTGCTAAAGTGAGTTCTGAGAGAATTATTTGTAGCAGATGCTTGATTATACAGTAAAAGCCATAAGGTTTCAGTATTATTATCAAGGTATAGCAATAAGAATATTTTATAAGTGTTGATTATTTAAATGCCAGCTGCATTTATTAGAAACTTGGCTTTATTTGGGTTTTAGTTTTATTTAGGAGAGGTTTGTTTAGATGATTTAGTTTGAAAGTTTATGATCAATGGAACATGCATTTTCAGTATATTGTGTTAGCTTTGTGAAATATTTAGTGAAACTTTGTAGATGCCAAGCAGGCCTGTTAAATCTAAACATGGAGATTGGAAAATGTAATTATTTTATTTTTATTTAATTTTTTTTTTAACATCATACTTTACAAATAATTCACATAGAACATTAGAAAATACAAAAACAATGTAACGAACATTAACCAATGAAGATATAAATAACAGCTGTAGCACTGCACTACACCACCTGTACAGAAGAGGGCAATGTTTTTGCACTTTGGCTGAATAACACTGTTAAGTTAACTGTCACTCCTATGCACTGCAGTTCACCTAGCAAAGATGTGTCTGAGCACGCACTAAAAATATATTATGTCATGCTGCCCACATTAATTCTCATCTCTCTACAAGCTGCCTTTTCATCATTTTTGTCTGTGATATCAACAGCATGATAAGATGTTGTTCGTGCTGTAGATATGTATATGGCCGGGAGCCTAACAGGTCCTTATTACTCTGCTGGCAAAGCTGGATCACTTTTAAACTAAAAGTGTTTGGGTTAACTTTTTGGTCACTGACTTGTTTTTTAAAGAACTTTTTGGGTCAGTGAAAATTTCCATTCAGAATGCTGTGTAGTCCAGGACTAGGTTTAATCCTTGCCTGAGAAGCCGGCCCTTTGTGTTTGAAGATGTTTGCAGTTATATGACAGTAACTTTGGTTAGAATGCAGTAGTTCTATTCATTCAGCTCTTATATATTTGTTGCTCCTGTGGCATAAAGACGATTACCACGGATTTTGACCATGGACTTGGTCAGTAAATGAGAAGAAAACCTGTTGAATAAAGTCATGTTTTGAGTCCATGAGTATTTTTTTCATTTATTAAGTGCAGGGAAACTGTCCATGGCAATATACTACAGATGGGGCAGATACCGATTAATAATAATGTTTCATTATTATTCATGACACCTTTCTCTTTGCACACTGGGGTGTTCTTTTAAAAGAGTGGTCACATCCCTGCTCCTGGAGATCTACCTTCCTGCAAACTTTAGCTCCAATCTTAATCAACCTCACCTGATCTATCTAATTACTGCTTTCCAAAGTTCTTGATTAGCTGAATGAGGGGTTGGGTTGGGTTAGGGTTGAGTTGGAGGTGAAACCTGCAAGAAGATTGGTGACTACCCCTTTAAAACATCAGGGCAGCCTCAAGTAGATGTGTGTAGAAGTTTGGACAGCCCTAGCCAAATTCATATTTTGTTGGTTTTTGAGAAGAAGCACAAACTCTCAGCAAACTTTTTTTTAGCGCATGTATTTTTTCCCTGAAAATGTTAACATGCAGTTACTTTACACTTGATTAACTTAAACATAAAAGAAAAAAAACGTAACTGTGGACATCCTACTAATGAATACTTATTAATGCCCCATTTAACAGATTTCACAGCTTCCAAATGCTTTTTGTAGCCAGCTAGGAGTCTTTCTATTCTTGTTTTAGGAATTTTTACCCACTCTTCTGCAATATCCAATATGCAATATGCAAAATTCTTGGGCTTTGTTGCATGCAGGGCTGCAGAAGCCAGCCTCTTTTCAGTTTTAGTTTCTTGACAGTCATATTTGCCTCCAGAATTTGCTGATATATAATGGAATCCATTGGAAGTGGAAGCACTTGACTGTGCAATGTTTCCTGTGGCCACAGGCTACCATTTAAACCCAAAGCGTAATAGATTCACTGCTGTACTTAACAGTTAGCAAGTCTTTCTGGCCAGCATACAAACAGTTCTGAGAGCTTTCTTGTCTTCCAGATTGTGCCTGGACTTCTTAACCGCCACTTCTTAATGACACTTCAGACAGTGGAAATTGTGACCTGGAAGTTCTTTGATATCTTTTTAGTTAGTTATAGATTTTTATAGTCTTCTTTTGCTTTGTAGGCATCTGTTAGCTTCATTTTCAAATCCTTAACCAGCTGCTTAGCACTAAGTTTAAAGACTCAGGGAATTTATTACACTCTGAAATTGTCAACCACCAACGATTCCTAATGACAATTCTTCACCTGCCTAACCAATCCTTACCAGTCAATTA